AGGCTATAAGAAGATTGCCAAGACCCTGAAACTGAGCTACAGCACGGTGGCCAAGACCATACAGCGGTTTAACGGGACAGGTTCCACAGGCCTCACCATGGTCAACCAAAGAAGTGGAGTGCACATGTTCAGCATCATATCCAGAGATGGTCTTTGCAGCAATGCTGGCAGCACTCATACGTCTATTTCACAGAGGTTGAAGGGGTGGAGGGACAGCCGGTCAGTGCTCAGACCATTGTTACACACTGCATCAAATTGGTCTGCATGGCTGTCGTCCCAGAAGGAAGCCTCTTCTAAAGATGATGCACAAGAAAGCCCGCAACCAGTTTGCTGAAGACAAGCAGCCCAAGGACATGGATTACTGAAACCATGTCCTGTGGTTTGAGACCAAGATAAACTGATTTGGTTCAGATGGTGTCAAGCGTGTGTGGCGGCAACCAGGTGAGGAGTACAAAGACAAGCCTACAGTCAAACTTGGTGGTGAGAGTGTGATAGTCTGGGGCTGCATGAGTGCTGCCGGCACTGGGGAGCTACAATTCATGGAGGGAACCATGAATGCCAATATGTACTGTGACATACTGAAGCAGAGCATGATCCCCTTACTTCAGAGACTGGGCTGCAGGGCAGTATTCCAACATAACGACCCCAAACACACCTCCAAGACGACCACTGCCTTGCTAAAGAAGGGTAAAGGTGATGGACTGGCCAAGCATGTCCCCAGACCTAAACCCTATTGAGCATCTATGGGGCATCCTCAAAACGAAAGGTGGAGGAGCACAAGGTCTCTAACATCCACCAGCTCTGTGAGGTCATCATGGAGGAGTGGAAGAGGATCCAGTGGCAACCTGTGAAGCTCTGGTGAACTCCATGCCCAAGAGGGTTAAAGCAGTGCTGGAAAATAATGGTGACCACACAAAATATTGACACGTTGGGCCCAATTTAGACATTTTCACTTAGGGCTGCCAGCGATTTAGACATTAAATGGCTGTGTGTAGTGTTATTTTGAGGGGACATCAAATGTACACCGTTATACAAGCTGTACACTCACTACTTTACATTGTAGCAAAAGTTGTGAATACATATATTTTTTTTTTTTTTTTTAGGAATTTCCCTAAACATATTTGAACTATAGTTCTAGAATGGATATGGGCTGAAAGTGCACACTCTCCAGTTTAATTTGAGGGTATGTACATCCAAATTGAAAGAAGGGTTTAGGAATTACAGCACTTCAGAGCAGCTATTCCCCCTTTTTCAAGAGACCAAAAGTAATTGGACAATTGAATCAAAAGCAGTTTCATGGCCAGGGGTGGGCTACTCCGTCGTTATTTCTTCATCAATTAAGCAGTAAAAGGTCTAGAGTTGATTTTAAGTGTGGTATTTGCATTTGGAATCTATTGCTGTGAACCTACATCATGTGTTCAAAAGCAGCTGGTAAACAAAAGCAAAACAGGGCGCACTCTCATCATGCATTAATGTGGTAAGCCACCAATTTATTTAAAACATATAGATGTATACTCACAAACCAAAGAACAAAAACAGAGCAGAAAAATCTGTAATGTCAGTCCAATGTGATAATAGACCCTTAATGGGGTAGGCTAACGAGTTTCGGGAGACACACTCCCTTCATCAGAGAGGTAAAATGTAGACCTGCTATTCCAACATTTATCAACCACAAAATGGTATAGAGGACTGGACCACACCCCCTCACACAACGACCCAATCTGGGCTGAGCCAATCAAATTCACCTCCAGCAAAAAAAAAAAAAAAAAAAATAAAAAATAGCACACCACCAACACTATCTCAAAGTGGAATGTAGGTATTGCCAAATGAAATGGTTTACTCATGATAAAAATTCAACCTACATAATAAATGAAAAAAAAAAAAAAAAAAAAAAAAAAAAAAACTGTACTCACATAAAGTGCCGAGGTGATCATGAATAAATGGATGTACATGCCAGAAATAGATATAGGAATGAACAATATTCACATGGAATATCGAGGTGAACATAATTATATATTGCACTGGCATGTCCATCCATTTGCAGTCTCTCCTATATCTGTCCAGAGTGGTGGTCACTGTGAATGTCATGATAGTTCCCCTTCCATCTCTGGCATGCACATTTATATAATTATGCTCACCTCGACATTCCATGTGAATATTGTTCATTCCTATATCTATTTCTGGCATGTACATCCATTTATTCATGTTCACCTCGGCACTTTATGTGAGTAGTTTATTTTTTCATTTATTATGTAGGTTGAATTTTTATCATCATGAGTAAACCATTTAATTTGGCAATACCTACATTCCAGTTTGAGTGTTGGTGGTATGCTGTTTTTTTTTTTTGCTGGAGATGGATTTGATTGGCTCAACCCAGATTGGGTCCTCATGTGTGAGGGGGTGTGGTCGAGTCCTCTACACCATTTTGTGGCTTATAAATGTTGGAATAGCAGGTCTACATTTTAGCTCTGATGAAGGGAGTGCGTCTCCCAAAACCCGTTCGCCTACCCCATTAAGGGTCTATCACATTGGACTGACATTACAGATTTTTCTGCTCTGTTTTTATTCACTTTGGTTTGTGAGTATACATCTATAGGTTTTAAATAAATTTGTATTTTACCACGTTAATGCACGATGAGAGTGCACCCTGTTTGGCTTTTGTTTACCAGTACCAAGATTTCCCGATCTTTGAAGGGCTGCACCTCAACGTTTGGAATTCAAAGTTTTTCCTAGTCTGCATGAAGATTTGAGTGCTGGTTTTGTTGGTTCGTTCAAAAGGAGCTGTCCATGCAAGTGAAACAGGCCATTGTAAGGCTTCAAAAACTAAACAAATCCATCAGAGAGATAGCAGCAACATTAGGAGTGGCAAAATTAATTATTTCAGGTACTTATATAGCGCCGTCAATTTACGCAGCACTTTACACATATATATTGTACATTCACATCAGTCCCTAACCCTCAAGGGGTGTACAATCTAAGGTCCCTAACTTACATTCATACATACACATATTAGGGCCAATTTAGACAGGATCCAATTAACCTACCAGCATGTCTTTGGAGGGTGGGAGGAAACCGGAGTACCCGGAGGAAACCCGTGCAGGCACAGGGAGAACATGCAAACTCCAGGCAGGTAGTGCCGTGGCTGGGATTTGAACCAATGTCCCTAGTACTGCCAGGCGGAAGTGCTAACCATTTAGCAATGGCTGAGCAACATAAAAAAAAGGCATAGAAGTCCACGGAAGACAACAGTGTTGGATGATCTGAGGATCCTCTCTTTGATAAAGAAAAACCCATTCACAACATCCAGACAAGTGAAGGGCACTCTCCAGGAGGTGGGCGTATCATTGTCAAAGTCTACAATCAAGGGATGACTTCACAAGAGCAAATACAAAAGGTTCACCACAAGGTGCAAACCATTCATCAGCCTGAAGAATAGAAAAGCCAGATTAGACTTTGGTCTGGCAAAAAAAAAAAAAAAAAAAAAAAAAAAAAACAAAGAAAAAAAAAAAAGCCAGTTCTGGAAATGGCTTCCAGTGGCACTGGGTCATTGGTGTTTATTGATAAGACAGAAGCAGCCGGATGAATTCTGCAGTGTTTAGAGATCTGTCAGCCCAGATTCAGCCAAATGCAGCAAAGTTGATTGGACAGCGCTTCACAGTACAGATGGACAATGATACAAAACACACTGAAAAAGCAACCCAGGAGCTTTTGAAGAAAAAGAAGTGGATATTCTGCAATGGCCGAGTCAATCGCCTGATCTCAACCTAAATGAGCATGCATTTCACTTGCTGAAGGCAAAACTAAAAGGCAGAAAGACCCACAAACAGAACTGAAGATAGCTGCAGTTAGAGCCTGGCAAAGCATTAGAAAGGAGGAAACCCAGTCTTTTGGTAATGTCCATAGGTTCCAGACTTAAGGCAGTCAGTGCCAGTAAAAGGATTCTCAACAAAAATATTTAAAATTAACATTTTATTTAGGATTATATTCATTTGTCCAATTACTTTTGGTCCCTTGAAAAATGGGGGATGGCTACGCTTAAGAGCTGTGATTCCTAAACCCTTCCTCCAATTTGGATGTACATACCCCCAAATTAAACCTGAGTGTGCAATTTCAGTCCATATCCATTAAATAGCTATAGCTTGCATATGTTTTGGCAAATACCTGAAAAAAACAAACACTGTATTGACCCAGCTAAGAGGCACTCCCCTCCTACTTTGGAAGATGGAATTATATGAGTGTAGCTGTTTGTGGAGGACCTTTACAATGCCTGCTTTGTCTTATCTGCATCGGTGTCTAAGCTCCACTGCATTTGTATGTTTTTTTTTTTTATTAATTAATATTAGCATCCTACAGGTGGTACTGCAGATAAAATATCTTAGCGCACAATAATTAAGGGTTCCACATTACTGGGGGTTGTCAGAAGCAGATTTGCTATTTTTTTCTAATTGGGAATATACATTTAATAGTGAACTGTCCTCCCACCTCACTCCTCTATGATGAATATACTAAAAGTTTGTACACTTCCATACAAACCTAATAAAAAGTAAACAAAAAAAATTGATACATCAATATCTCAAAGGATTTAAAGTGACAATAAACTAACTTTAATTTTCCAAAAATAATTCATACACCTCAATCTCTTAATGGCCTTGTAATGTATTTTTCATTAAATTTTTAATGGTTTTTGTGCCTCTTTGTAATGTACTTGAAAAGATTTTTTTTTTTTTTTTCTTCAGGAGTTTGTCACTTTAAGTACAATATGATCTGCGGCTTAGGTATTGACAGGGAAACTAGGTCACGGTTTCTTTGTTCACAATGAAATCCTGACTTCTCAATAATGAAAAAAATAATCCTCCACCTCTGGCCTCAAGACAATAGGTCAACTGACCTGCGCGAAATGAAATTGGCCCTGCCAATCAGACCATCTCATTTTCAAGCAGTATTAAAAAAAAATGAAAATGAACAGAAAAGCATTATCCCTAGGTTTACAAAACATGGCCTTACCATATGCTATAGGAGTGAGTTTTCAAGACTGTGTGCAAGGGGCACTTGAGGTATGGCAGCTCATCTGTAAAATAACACAAGAGATAATGTTAAGACTTTTTGACTCACAAACACCTTGTAAGAAATTCACAAGCAAAGGATTTTTTTTTCCTTAATGATAGTGAATAGGAGTAACTACGATAAGAACTGGAGGTGACACACATCTTGGGACACAGAGGCACCTAGACACCTGGAGGTCAAGCACACAAGGGGACTTGAAAAAGAGACCAGCAGTTGTTCAAATCCCCTGGAATTGGTAATATCTGATATTCTTGTTGGTTAGTTAAAAACGATTTAGTTTCTACTACATATGAATATTTGAGTGAATTGTCTTTAGGTAATTATATTAAATATCTGTATGTACGCTGATCACTGTATTTGCACAATGAAGGGTCCAACTGTCAGAATACAATGACTTGGACAAAGGAAACTCCTTCATCCACATTTTGCCCACTGGCTGGAGAAAAAAAAAAAAAAAAAAAAAAAAAAAAGAAAAAATTATAAGTGTGTGGCCAGTTTTGCTTTAACCACTTCCAGTCCAGGCCAATTCTGACAGTTATCTCCTACATGTAAAAAAAAAAAGAAAAAAAAAAAAAGTTTTTTTTCCCCTAGAAAACTACTTCAAACCCCCAAACATTTTTTATATTAGAGATCTATACCTCTCTCTATTGATCTATAAAATTTATTTTTTTTAAGCAGAGACCCTAGAGAATAAGATGGTGGGTGTTGCATATTTGTTCACCTTTGCATGTGAGCATGATGGGATGGGGGGACTTAAAAAAATGTGTTTTAAATAAACTTTAAAATGTACACACTGTACCTTTAATTTTTTTTTTTAAATTCTACTTTATTGCTATCACAGGGGATGAACAGCATCTCTTGTGATAGCATGGGCTATGACAGGTCCTCTTTATGGAGAGATCTGGGGTTCTATTAGACCCCAGACCTCTCTCTCCTAGCCTCCAATGCAGCCGATCAGACATAAATCAGTCTGATCTACTGCTTTTGTGGCCGGTAACAGTCCAGTAAAGAAAAAACTGAAACCAGAAGTGACAAAAATACTTGAAGCTTGCCATTTCTGACGTCACATAAGAGGGGTAGGAACTTCCGTCGACTAAGGTGGTCATAATCTTTCAGGGCTCACCGATTGCTTGAGAGAGCCTGGTAAAGGCAGTGACAGCAGCAGGGGAGCTTTCTGTCCCCTGTAAAAGTGACTGCTTAGCTACTCTGATCACTTTTAGTTTGTAGGAAATCCCCAGCAATTATCATTGCTACAGCTGAGTCTGCAGTGTGTCGCACAAACTTGTAGATTGTGTCAAGAAAGTCTGAACTAATATACACATAGTACATGTTCCTGATATACCAATAATATTACAAGTACTGTATTCATAATATACTGTATAGACCGCTAATACAAGGAGTGCCAGCCAATGACAGAACTATATTATTATACAGTGTTTATATAGCGCCAAAGGGTTTGCTCAGCGCTGTACAATAGCAAGGGTGACAGACCATGAGACAAGACAGAAACAATAAAATACACGAGGGGTTTGAGGGCCCTGCTCTTTCGAGCTTACAATCCAGGAGACTATAGAAATGCCCCTTTAATTACAGCCTTCCCCATCTTTCCAAGTGTGTACCTGCACTTTTATCCAAGAAGTAGGCCAGCAGGCAGCGCATGACAGCTTGATGGCAAATAACTAGTACATTCTCCTGGCGCTCCAGTTCCATGATGACAGGTTCAAGACGTTGTACCAAGTCCTCATATGACTAGAAAACAAGAAGTAGATAATTCGGTTTTCTCATATTAGATGTAAAGTAAGGGCTGATTCACACCCTCCCCATTGGGCTGCTTTGGAAGGAGAAGGTTTGTTCATCTAAAATGTTGACAGATTAAACAGATGTTTTGTGCAGGCTGGCTGGCTTATGGGCTGGATATTTTTGCTTGCTAAATAAAAATATAGACCCTATGAACAATACAAAATGTATTGTATCCACTTACAACAAATGCCTAAGAAAGGGGAACTGCCCGTCCACGAATGGCCCCATAAATAACAAAAAACTTGCAAATTTTCAGATTCAGAGGTTTTGAGATGTTCATTTAGCTATGATAGCAAGACTTCTCATTGTTGGGTGCAATACCATAGCTGCGTTACTACTTTTGGATGAGGTGACTTAATTTAAAGCCATAGTCTCTGAATATTTAGACTGCAAAGTCTCCGCTTTAGTAGGAACAATTTCCTCTAGTTCAGTATCTAGACTTTTGACGACATTCAGTCTGAGAAAAAAAAAGGCAAAAATAAAGGCTATGGACCTTGTGTATACAGGGATCGCTGCCTTTTATTAGACATTATGTTGGTGGACTATGTGGTCAAATAATTTTCTGGAGCACAACTATGAAGATTTATTAACCATTTAGACTTTATGACTTGATTTGCGTTGATAAGGTGTGTATATGGAATTTTATCATTCAATTAAGGGCTAATCTTTGAGACTTAGTACGGGTAAGCTACGAATGGCTTGTGTATTTTTGAGTCCATCAAACTGAACATTTTCCACTTGTATCCAAACGGAAACTGTAATACAATTAAGACTGCGCCATTTAGGTAAATCAATTGTGTGTTTAGCCATTAGTCGATAATACCCCATCTTTATAACTGGGATTTGCCTTTTCACAGTCATTAAGCAGGTCAGGTTAGGTAGCCAATAGCTCTGTGATAAACAGGACACAGCTGTTGAGCTAAATGTTTCCTGGTATGGTGTACATCAACAAGTAGTAGCTGTGTCTGCAATTTGGAAGATACACAATATGGGAACATGTCTTTTACTATACAAGAACAGACTTCTAAATAAATCATCTGCCATAAAAAGGAGCACAACAGAGTAGGAAAGTGAAATATTAGATGTATAGTTACCATATTATTGCCTTATTGTAAAATAAAGAAAGATTGGTTCACTACACAAACAGTGGTTGAGCACCATTAGCAAAGCTTCCTACATTTGGACTAAACAAATGCATCTTCAAGAGACATCTTTCAGCCACATGTCTCATACATACAAAGGCCAAGAACTTTGTTTTTTGTTTATTTTTCATAATGCACACTGTGCTAGTTTTAACCAGTGCTCCTCTAAACACTGATAGAAGACACAAGTTTGCTCTAACTGCTGATGAGAAAAGGTATTTAGCAGTTTATATTTACTAAAATAATTGCATTTCCATGTTCTGTTTACTGTGGGAGACCAGATATAGTAAATGCAGGGTCCTGGGTTTAGTAACACTTTAAAGTCTATCATCTTCTTCATTTCTACAACAAAAGATCTGACAGCCTGAATGTATATTTGGGGGGGGGGTTTATATTGAACCTCTGACCAGCTAGGCATAGAAAAGAAGTCACTGCATGGAGCCACAATGCTGTGGTAGGTATTTTGGTCCAGAGTGCCATTTTATTTAGGCAAGGCATCAACTCTGGATCCAGCAAGAGCCTCAGACCAACTGTCAAATATGAAGGAAGAGTAATGATGGAGTCAACATCCAGGGGAACCATCCTATCCCCTGCTTAAGGACAATTAAAAAAATCCTACAAGTTAATTATGTATAAGATCTTCTTCCAGTCTTAAGGAATCCTTTGGCAGTGGTTCCTGGGTTTTCTTATTTTGGAATTTAAGCAATGGTTTCCTTACACGAACACATCGCCCCTCAGAACTGCAGCTCAAAAGCTTTTCTTTACAGCTGAAAGGGAAATCTGCTTACTTCAGCCGCTGCTAAGCTGCACATAAAGCCGTTTTCCTGTGAAGTGCTTTTTTCACAAGATGTTGACTCTCAGAAACATGCCTTCTGATGCTGTGGAGTTATTGGATCAGAGTGTTATGCAGTTTCTAAGTGTCATTTGATGGTGTAATGGAGTACTCACTGACCTCTTGACTTTTTAAAAAATGTCTCTAAAAAAAGAAAGACTTGTATTTTTAGGTCCTTTTATACAGGCATCATCAGTTCAGCCATGTTTTTTTTTTTTTGTAAAAAAAAAAAAAAAAAAAAAAATAAATCTGATTAGCACCAATTCAGGTTACTTCAGCTTCCATCAGTTTATATGCGCATCTTCAGTTTTAGTTTATCTCCACAAAAATGTGGATAAAAAGTTTTCCTCCGACATACAGGACCAGATGTAAAATGGACGCATGTCAGTGTACATTTACCTGCCCCATAAAACACACACACAGCTCTGAGAGGGGTTATATAGTGGGTCCTTCCAGCTCTTCTTGCCAAACACCCGAAGGTGGAAGCATATATCCCACAGTCATCTAAGATTCTGCCTGTGTCCTTTACTATGCTCAAAGTAATTTTACAGGCAAGTTAAAAATACAGTTTTTAATGTCACTTATTGCAAGCAATTTAGTTCTGGAATCTACAGGGACTCTTACTTGCATAGAATACAAGCACTTACAGTGCAGAAAATAAAAACGTGACTGTTGTACGATTGCAGCAGTGGACAATAAGGGAGGTGTGAGTGGCAACCCTTTCCCATGTGGCTACAAACCACTTGTCTATGTTGTGCAAACGTTATATCTTTATTGCGCAGTCATGAAGTATTCAGACCCCCGTCACTGTTTCAGTTTTTTTATGTTGCAGCCGGATACTACAGTTGTTTAAAAGTTATTTTTTTTCTAATTAACCTATACTCAGTACCCCATAATGACAAAGTGAAAACAGAAATTTAGAAATGTGAATTTATTAAACAGAAAAAAACTGAAATATTTAATGTAAGTATTTAGACCCTTTACTTAGAACTTTGGTGAAGCACCTTTGACAGCAATTACAGCCTCAAAACTTCTGTAGGACGGAACAAGCTTTGCACACCTGGATTTTCTGCCATTCTTCTTTGCAAATCCACTCAAGCTCAGTCAGGTTCGATGGGGACCGGCGGTGGACAGCCATTTTCAGGTCTCTCCAGAAATGTTCAATAGGGTTCAAGTCAAGGTTCTGGCTGGGCCACTCTAGGACACTCACAGAGTTCAACCTCAGCCACTCCTGTGTTGTCTTAGCTGTGTGCTTAGAATTGTTAATATGTTGAAAGGTGATCCTTTGGCCCAGTCTGACGTCCTGAGCGCTGTGGAAAGTTTTCATTGAGAAAAAGTACGGAGAGGATCTCTCCGTACTTTCAGCTATCTCACTCCTTTCAGCTTTTTCTCAACACTGAACAATCTTCCAATCCCCACTGCTACAAAAACAAACAAACAAAAAAAAAAAAAAGCCAAAAAACAACACACTCCCACAGCATGATGCTGCCGCCATCATGCTTCACTGCTGGAATGGTATTGGGCAGGTAATGAGCAGTGCCCGGTTTCCTCTAAATATAAGGTTTAAAAATGAGGCCAAACAGTTCAATCTTCAATTCATCAGACCAGAGAAGCTTGATTTTCACAGAGGCCTTCAGGTGCTTTTTTGCAAACGCCAAGTGGGCTTTCATGTTTTTTGCACTAAGCATTCCATCTAGCCACTCTGCTGGCTGGGTAACTGGCTCTGGCAAGAGTCCTGGTTGTGCCAAACTTCTTCAATTTGAGAATTATGGAGGCTACTGTGGTCTTGGGAACCTTCAGTGCAGCAGACATTGTTTTGTAGCCTCCCCCCTTCCCTGGATCTGTGTCTTGCAATAATCCTGTCTCTGAGCTCTACAGGCAGTTCCTTTGACCTCATGGTTTTGGCTCTGATACAGTATGCATTGTCAGCTGTAAGGCCTTTTATAAAGAGGTGTGCGCCTTTCCAAATCATGTCCAATTAATTTAATTTATCACAGGTGGACTCCAATCAAGGTGTAGAAACAGCTCAGCAAAGATCGAGAAATGGGAGACACTTGAGCTAAATTTCAAAATTTGTTGCAAAGGTGACAATACTTATGCCAATGTGATATTTTGGTTTTTCAACAACTGTACTATCAGGCGGAAACCACAAAATTGAAAATGAAAAAAAAAAAAAAAGTGAATACTTTGAATGCACTGTATATTCTGCTGACCAAAGGTCACTTACCTCTCCTTTTGGATAGCGGTATCTGTATTTATCTTGATCCCGCAGGGCAAACTCCAGAGGATGGGACTCTTGAATTTCTTCATAACGCATCTCCTCACATACACCCTAGTAGACGCATAACAGGAAATTTTAGGTGCATCAAGCTATACACTTAGATTTGCAAAATATACAATACCAATCCAATTACAAAAACATTTTAAAAAAATATGCCAGTAAATGCAAAATAAAAATGGAATTTAAAGATTATGAATAGTTAGTAAATGTAATATCTGCTCACGTATTTGTGGAGGTATTAATATGGACCTGGCACCCCAATTGCAGTTGTTACAGCCCCTACCCCAACCTTCTGGGTAGGGTTTCTACAAACTTTTGGAGTGCATTTGAAAAGTTGTGCCCATTTTGCAGGAAAACGTTTTTCAGGTGTGATATACATGGACAAGATGCTGATTTTCAGTGAGGAAGCATTGGTGCCAAATACAGAGTCTTGTAGCGGCAGCATAATACAGGAGGCCCAGAATGCACATGCAAGCAAAATCGTTATTGGTGTGGTGGCAGTATATCTTTATTGAATCGGATCCCCTACGGGATCAGCCCCGGGACTTTGGTTGTTTCTGGGAAGTGTGCACACCCGCTGATCTGTCTTTGATGGACCAATTTACATGCCCCACACCAGCATGCTTCCATCAAGCTTTCAATTTGGCTTCTGTTTCTCACCCTATTGATTACATCCAGCTACAAGGGAATTATCCCTGCCGTTATTTCCATCACAGCTGTTATAGCATATTTGCTCTGCCCAGTTTACAGCACTAGTTTACAAGGGGCTGCTCCTATAGCATATTTGCGCTGCCCAGTTTACAGCACTAGTTTACAAGGGGCTGCTCCTATTGCTTCCTATCTCTCAGCTGCCACATGCAGGATATGTATTATCACATGGAACTATAGACATCGGCTGACTACAACCATGACTCCAGAACACTTCGGATTTCTATCTGAATGGACAGTATGGACTGGCATATTAGATTGCGATGTTACTCACATTTAGCCACGGACCTGCCAATGGTCTTCAGCTATATCCTGTATATACTTAAACAGCCATGACACCTCCATGATTGATATGGTGTAACTGTATACCATAACATTCCACCCTCTTGCTGTTGCAGACTTTCAATCAGGGCAATTGCCATTTAGGTGTGGGTAGGGGTTAGTGTGTTAGAGTGTGTGTGTGTGCGTGTGTTTATCATTTATGACAACGTTGTCATTTATATTTGATTATACTGGGTGTTGGAGTATTTGATTATCTTGATAACTTTAATAAAATTGCTACTTTTGTCTAAGTAGTAGCAGTTTTTGTCCTCCATTGGGGCCTCTTTGTCATATGTCAGATTTTTGGTCCATGTTCGACAAGACAACCTGGCTTGCAATCAGTGTTTTGCCTCTGCTAGGAAGTGGGTGGAGCAAGTGCATTTACTATTTTTTTTTGTTTTAGGTGCCTGTAAAGCATGGCACCAGTGATCAGTAGATCGCTGGTGCCATGCAGGTCTCCTGTAGACTGTCAGTGTAATCCATCTGCTGTAATCCATCTGGGGGGGGGGGGGGGGGGGGGGTGGGGGTTGGGGGTTGATGATGCATTGCAGTGAGGGGGTGATGCCATACACTTACAGAAAAAAAAATTTTTTTTGGAGTGGCACAAAGCAACACTTCATTTAGGTCTCTGCACAGCAGTGAGGAGCGTTGCAATGCAGTGACATACAATGCCATCCAGTGCACTGTATTTTTTTCTTGCACTGGACACCACACCAGAATTCTTTTTTCTATGCCCTTTGCAACAACTGGCATGCATCCAGAATAAAAAAAAAAAAAAAAAAAACAAAAACAACCCCACAAGTTAGTGCACATAATGTGAATGGAGCTCCTAAAACTATGCCAGGTGGAAGGACACTTACAGCATCAATCTCATTCAGCGTTTTCCACTGTTCATATGGTACACCCAGAGCCTCTGCTGTCTGAATTGTTCTCTTCATCTGGCTTGTCCACACTTTGAGGTCATGGATATTTTGTTCATGGATGTATTTAGCCAAGCATTTGGCAAACTGAGGAAACAAAAAGAATAAAAAAGTTTGTCCAACAAAACATTTTGCCTTCTTACCAATTATAAATTGCACAGATGTGCAAACATACTCAAAACCAAGATATTCAAAAGTTAAAAATCATACTTGACAAAAATAGGAATTTTGACTTAAGTTTAAGGCCACTGTGCCTGGCATTATAGCCTGCTGCAGCCAGGTGGTTATCCAGGGATCACTGTGCTGTACTTTATAGAGACCTGTAGACTTGCTGGAGCAGAGAAAAGCACACCAAGAGAAAGGAAATGTCCTGCACATGCTCAGCAGAGCAGCTCAGAATGAGGCCATGCAGGCCCAGTAGTACCAGATGTGACCCACTTGTGGGGGGGGGGGGGGGGGAATAGTGCAGATTCACATCGTTCAAAGTGTTGCAGCCCACATTCCTTAGTGGTGAAGGCATAAACACACCAGCCACTTACCACGGGAGAGCTCTTTACACAGGATATAAGGGCTGTGACACCATCCTGTTTTTGTCCCTACATGGTGGGCATAACCACAAAGGCCTTTTCAAGGACAGGGCCTGCTGTTAGATCACGGTCCTTGACCTTTATAGCACCCTGCGACTAACATGATGCACTAATAACATTATAGGTCAGCCCTACCATTTCATCCGAGCAGTGTCCAGGTATAGTCCCCAAGGCTCATCTCAGGAGCAAATCAATTAGGAAGCTGCAGAAGGAACTGCAGGGGCTAAGGTGCAACCTGAAATCTTGACAGGAGACTTGGGACCCCTTTCACATGGGCGGTTAGATTTCAGCTTTTAGAGGAACTCCTTTACCGCAGCTAAATGCAGGCAATGCATCCCTATGGCTCCATTCACACACTGCGTTTAGCAACATTTTCATAACAGTTTTATGTGTTTAGGAAAAATAAAGTTGACAGCATCCAGGAGCGATGTACCGCAGCTATCTGTACATAAAAGCAGTTAATCATAGCACAAAGAAGGTTTAAAAAAAAAAAAAAAGAAAAAAAAAAAGAAGAAAACAGTTGCATTAAAAAAGGCAAACAAAAAAAACGCAGCTGCATGTAAACGCAGATAAACACAACATACAAATGTGAGTGATCTCTGTGCTAGGAGTATTGGATTTCCATAATAAAAAAAAACATGCATTTACAAGCGGCAGAACAACCGCCCCTGTGAAAGAGGCCTTAACTTAGAGAAAACAAACTTTCAGAGGAAAGAGGCATGCTTCCCTCAGTAAACAGAAGAGGATCATCACCCAAGAAATACTCAGGCAGCAGCCTTTTGGCTTAACATTTGTTTTGTTAAAAGGATATACCTACACACTCTGCTGGTTTACAGAATGCCCCCCATAAATTGAATGTTCAGAATGTGTCATTGGCTCACTGCTTTCCATAAACATCTACACTAAGATAAAATTCAAAATTCAGGCATCACTTGAAGCCTCTTCTTCTAAGAGGATGCAGATTCAGCAGCTCTTCCTATTACAACGCACACCACACTATAGAGTTCTAATGATGGTAGATCCTTTAACCATTTGCCACTCCGCCCTATGGCTGAATGGCGGGCGGCAAATGTCATCAGCGTTCCGGGTGGACGCCATATGGCGTCCTGCCGCACATGCGCAGATTGCGCTCCTGCAGAGCGGCGCAATCTGTCACCGGCCATGTAGCTCGGACACGGCTGATGACAGATCTGAGTATCGGCCCCGTTGCCGGTACCATGTGACCTGCTGTGACCAATCATAGCAGGTCACATGACAGTTGTATACAATGGATGGCTTCATTCATGCCATCCATTGTATACTAGTGTCTAGCTGTGAATGGTCACAGCTAATCACATGCGCATGTCATGTGATTAGCTGTGGCCAAATCACAGCTAAGCACAAAAAAAAAAAAAAAAAAAAAAAAAAAAAAAAAAAAAAAACAACCCTGAATGAATCGATGTCATTCAGGTAAATGCTTGCTTATAGCGAAGTAATTCTTTGCTATAAACAAATTGTGTAAAAAAAAAAAAAAAAAATACTGATCACTTCCCCAACGTAGTACAATGTTACTATGGTAACATTGTACTACTTTGGTCATAGTGAAATATGAAAAAGAAATCTTAAAAAAATTTAATAAAAAAAAAAAAAAAAATAATTTTTTTTTTTTTTTTCATACTGTCACCAGTCAGTGTCTCTGATCACTGCCATGCCAGTTATATGATGACGCTGTACTGCACTGGTGACAATATGTAAAAAAAAAAAAAAAAAAAAAAAAAAAAAAAAAAAAAAACAGTGAAACTAATTTTTTTTATTTTTTCATTTTCTGAAAAATTATGACAAAAAAAAAAAAAAAAAAAAACACAACTTAAAAACTCGCCATGCTTCTTATGAAGTACGTCGGACTGTCTACTTTGCAAAAGGGGGTCATTTGGGGGATATTTGTACTGTTGACATTCTTGGACCTCAAGAAATTAGATTGGCTGTCAGTACTTCAGGATTGATCACAAACTATGGTACAGATCTGAATATTGAACTCTATAACGTTCCTACAAACTAAAATATACATCCTAATTTGGGTTATTTTCACCAAAGACATGTAGCAGAATACATCTCGGCCTAAATTTATGAAGAACAATTATTTCTTTGCAAACTTTTATAACAGAAACAAAGAAACTTTTTTTCAAAATTTTTGGTCTTCTTTTGTTAATTTAGCAAAAAATAAAAACCCCAGCGGTGATTAAATACCACCAAAAGAAAGCTCTAGTTGTGTGAAGAAAATGATAAAATTTTAGCTTGGGTACAATGTTGTATGACTGCGCAATTGTCATTCAAAGTGTGAGAGCGCTGAAACCTGAACACTGGCCTGGGCAGGAAGGTGTAAAATTGCCCGGTATTGAATTGGTTAATGAAGGTAGATCATCAGAACTTCCAGAAAATTAAAAATGAATGAAATGGCATTCTTGGTTTGTGGTGTGGTTCTGCTTTTAAGGCAAGCTACAGATTACCTTCATAGTGAACAGCTGAAACACTGGTAAGGTCCCAGCAACTCCATTTTGTAGAGAAAGTGTAATACAAAACAAGTGAGACCTTCTGTGTGGTGTGATGTATGGTGAAGTGAAATTTGTTTTATTTAAACAAAAAAAGAAAAAAAAAAATATTAGATCTGATGCACCTTTTCAGGATGTGTTTGACCTAGGTTCAATTGCAATTTCATTATGAACAAGATAGTTTGGAAATTGCAATGAAGAAAGCTCTAAAAACCACACGGTTACAACAGGTTAAGAATCTTACACCAGGTCCTGATTACAACAATGATTACAAACTGTACTGGCACTTCCCTATTCAAAAAGTCAATTTCATCATCAAATAAATGAGTCAACATCATGGTAAAACGATCAGAATTTAACTGCAGAACCAAAAAACTGTTTCCATTTTCAAATTATTCCCAATTGCAGCAGCACACTACAGCGCCATGAAAAAGTATTCATACCCCTTGAAATTCTTCACATTTTGTCATGTTACAACCAAAAAACGGAAATGTATTTTATGGGATAGTCCCATACAAAGTGGCACATAATTGTGAAGTGGAAGAAAAATTATGAATGGTTTTCAAAATGTAACTCCCCCCCCTAAGCAAATGCCATTAAATAGGTTTGCTGATCATAAGCCAGGTCCTGAGTTACCAAGTGGACATACAGAAATAAACAGAAGGGGTCGCACCCATCTAAATGTAGGCTGCTTATCAAAAGGGTAAAAAGCATAAAGATATTGCATTCACTGCATACGATGAGGAAAAGGCATGTCACTGTGGTACTGTCTCCAGTATGGGGACATCAGGATGTCAACCACGCCGCCGCCGCCCCCCCCCCCCCCCCCCCTCCGATGTGTTCGGACCTCAGCCTCGGGATTTCCCGACAGCTACTGAAAATACCCAGAAGCTGCCCAGCTTTGAGAGGCGGCTTGCGTTCCACGCTGCATCCTGTCATCTTTTCCAGGGAGCTCTCCAGTGAACTCCAGGGCCATAGAATGGAATTATCAGCCACTTGCATGCCGATCTCTTGCATATCAGACCAGCGGCTTGCCTGCCGAAGTCTACCTTCTAGAGTCACCATACTGGGGACATTAGTACCACAGTGACATGCCTTTTCTTCATCATATGCATTAAGTGCAATATTCTGTGTGCCCCCTTTGTTAAAGTGAATACTTGTTTTTCACATTTTCATTTTTGCATCCCTTGAAATTAATGGAGTCTTTTTTTCATGCATCTGGGCTTGGGAATCCCTAAAAGTGACACTAAAGGCACAATTTTTTTGTAGGGGCAGTCCCCGCTGTCAGCACACAATAGCCTGGGAGATCTGCACGCTAACATTGCACAGTTAGTACAGCAGCCTCTGTTTTTTTCATTCAGCCCACTGGGCCAAAAGAAAAGAAAAAAGTTACAGTGTACTAGTCTTATGTACTGCACACTAGACGTCACTAGGCTGGAACTCGCAAAGATTAACTTGGCCTTGGCCAACTTCGAGCTCCACGTTGCAAAGCAAACTAAATTATCACCTTATCTCCTTAGGATGTAAGAAAGCTAGGCAGTAGATAACTCATTCTGAACATGTAAGGACTTTTACCCTCCTCCTGCCATGTCTCAATCAATTTCACAAGGTCTTGCATCACATAAATAAAATAAATAAGGAACAGGATTTCCTACAGACTACACATAAACCTGTTGTAATTCTCTATAGTTCTTCAATGGCCAGCACACAAAATAGCACCAGTCTCCGACCTAGGATATTCAGTTTGCACATTCTGACTCCAGGATTGTCTTCCAAATGTGTACGTTACAAGGATTCTGTATATAAGCACACAAGCTAAAACAATTTAACACACTTTAAATTTTACCAGTTCTAAGGCATGGTGGCTGCATTTGTTTTCTGTTTTGCAGGCTCTTAAGGTTACCTGCTGATGCTTTCCTAATGTGACAATACTTACTAATCAAACAGTATCCATGTTAAAGCAGTATTGTCACCCTAGGCTGCTCTCCTGATTTGTTTTACATTTTGTACAGCATGCCACCACCTGCCACAGGCAGTGTTAAACTTGGCAACTGGTTTTCTACAGAGGAAAATAGAGATTTGCTGCTTGCTGCAAACGTACACTGCATGTTATGACTTCTCAAGAGTTTTCAGTAAAACATGGAAAACCCTTTCAAACCAGTTAGTTGACCAAGTTCATTGACTTGTCAAACAAATTTAAAGTGCAACTAAAAGCAAAAAGAATAAATGTAATATATTGCACCTTACCACACCAGAGATGCGATAGTTGTAATCAATCTTTATCAGGCTATGAACATTTTTAGCAAGTACAGAAAATAGCTGTTAATCTTGCCAGAAATGCAGTTTTCTAGTCACATCCATAGAAATGAACTAGAAGGCATAAAACAATGTTATACTCTTCATTCTGTGAACTACTAATCCCATCAGCTCCATGTAAGGAATATAAATCAAGTGAGGTATGTTTGAATTCCAGCCTGGTCTCTACAATGGCTCCTTTCAAAAATACATTGTAAATGTAGCCATGCAGGAAAGGAAATGTGTTATTTAAAAGGTTAGCAGGCAAAAATAAAAAAAGGGAGCAAAGCCTAAAAAACTGGGGGGGGGGAAAAAAAAAAAAAAAAAAAAAAAAAAAAAAGCAGCTACTTCATTTAAGGACTTGTAAACGACAATATACTACAGGTTTACTTTTGAGTTTAGATGTGCTTTACATTGGATCACAGTGAATAGCCAACTCACATGTATGCTTCAGAGTAATGTGCAAAATAAATCTAATAAAACGCAGGGTCCATGGATGCAATTGACATTTTTGACCTTGGAGGAATGACAACCTCTTTCTCCTGCTAAGAAATTATGTCTATGCATGCATATCCTCTTTCCCTTTTTTCCCCCTTTAGGGGACTGCAAATGGAAGTTAGAATGGCTTGTCAGTCTATAGCTCTAGGTTTGCTTTGTATAACTAAACAGTAGGTGGTTTCTCATTGTCTAATTGGAATTAATCGCTATTTATATAGAAATTATGACAATGATATAGTCTTGAATGCGAATGTCATAGTTGTACTCTGGCATGCAATTGTTGCATGACTTTAAACCTTGTACATATATACCCTAATAAACAGACTGAAGTACTGAATTCAATACCAAGATTTTGTTTAAAATAAACAAAAAAGCAGTACAATTTCTCACAGTTCTGAACATTATTGAAAAATAAGGAATGCTTTTTTTCCCCCCAGGGAAAAAAAATAAAATGATTTTTGTCTTACCTATAGAATCCTTTTCTGGGGCACATTTCAGGACACAGGATTCTGGAATCAATGGGTTATGCAGCTACCTTCAGGAGATTGGAAATTAGCAAGGTAGTAAAGACAGCCCTGCATAACCCCTCCCACTCTAAGTCAAGCTGTTAAAGCCAGCAACCGAGAAGCAGGATGTAGACAGCCACCTAGAACAGATGATCTGGGAGAGAGTCAGCCATTTTCAAGCTCTTGGCAGAGAGCCCTGAACTCCTGAGCCAGCTTGGTGCAATGATGATCACCAAACTGGCCTCCAAGGAAGGCAAGAAAGGAATTTCAGAGAAGGAAACGCATAGATTAGGTTGAGCTGATTCCACCGAGTTACCAGAACATCTACTGAGAAAGCCAGAAGATCCCTGGTACTGGCAACAAATCTGCCCACTTTGTGGTTAAACCTGGAAGCCATGAGGGTCCAGGACTGGCGTTCTCTACTTGCAGAGATGAAAACCCTTCCAGGTTAAGAAGCCATTCCCTGGAATCCAGGCGCAAACAACCAAAAAAGTCCACCTGTCAATTTTCCATGCCTAGTATGTGTCCAGGTCGTGAGTTCAACCCAAGCCAGAATCAGGTCAGTTTCTTTTTGAGCTGCACAACTTCTGGCTTATTTCTGATTGTTGATTAAAAACCAATGCTGTGGCATTGTCTGACTGAATCCTGAATGGGTTACCTTGCAGCCGGGGGGCCCAGGGTTGAAGAGAAAACCCAACTACCGTGAACTCCAGAACTTTCACTGATGACAAAGTCCCCGGTACCAAGACAGCATCCCTCTCCAGCCTAAGAGGCGGCTTCCATTTTGAGTGCCTTCCAGACCAACAGGAGGAGGATTTTACCAAATTCTAGCACCAGACTGGAAATCCACCACCCCAGGGCAAGCCTGGTCTTGCTGAAAAGACTCACATTCCCAGAATGCAGAATTAAAATTGCCTGGAGTGAAACTGGGCATATGAGACTTCTTCAAAAAAGTACAGCATTAGACCCAGAATTCCCAAGCAATAGTGAATGATAGGACCCTACGATCCAGAAGCTGCCCAAACAAGGAAGCAGAGACAATGAAGTTTGTCCAGGAGAAGACGAAGCTGGACAGAGCCATATCCAAAATTATGCCTCGATACTTCAAGCAATGAATTTGATCCAGCACTGATTTCTGACAATTTAGAATCCATCCGAATATCTGAATAGTCTGCATTGTCCATCAGAAATGGGCTGACACACTGAGCCAACCATTCCCTCAACAGGAAATTGTCCAGATATCCAGAGATGGAGATACCACGAAAGTAAAAAGCAAAAACGAGAACAGGAGCTAGCACCTTGGTGCAGTGGACAAGACAAAGGGAAGGGAAACAATTTGATAATGTTTTGTGTCCACAGCAACACACAGATAGCGCTAATGTGCAGGAAGATGAGGATATACAAGTAAACATCCGTGATGTCCACAGAGGCCAGAAGATCTCCCAGGTGAAGGGAAATAATAACTGACCGGGTGGATTCCATTTGAAAATTCTGCACTTGAAGAAATCAGTTAATCTCTAGATCCATTATGGGTCAAATAGCACCTTTTGCCTCCAGGGTGGTAAACCGACTATCACGGCAGACTGCAGAGTAAGACCATATTCATATGTGCAAAATGCGCCAAAATTCCAAATAAAGTCCATAAAAGTAGGAAAACTGGTGCAACATAAAAAGATAATTGGAAAGCAAAAAGTGCGTAATTTGTGCCACCACTTCGTCCATTCATGTCCTTAAGGGGGAGCACTTACCAGACATCCATGACCCCCGATTACAGAGTGGTCATGTTAAGCATTATTGCACGGCCCATCTGGGATCAGGTCTCCTTCAATATCTTCAACTGGTGGTATTCCCACACAAAAAATAAAAAATCAGCAAAAATCAGTATAATACAGTAAAAATCCTTAACCAAAAAGGTTAAAACCACTCACATGTAAATCAAACAGCGCTTTTTAATACATCAATATCGTCATGTTTGTCACTAGGATCGGCCGGACCTTGTCAAGCCATCATGTGCGATGATGTCACCGCCTCACCCCTACTTGTTTCATCAGAAGTGGATGTTCTCAAGGGGGGCTGGAGAGGATCAGGGGGCTTCCTAACGGCCCCTGCAATCGAAGCTCTCAAAAACAGGGCTAAAAGTTACCCATAAATTTAGACACTGTGGCAGAAAATACCTCTCACAATAAGCAGAACTCCTTAGGAAAGAAAGGGAATGATAGGGATTTGGTTTTCGGAACAGCAGTCTAGGATAGCTGAATCAGGACCTTCGGGGAAATGCTGCAGACCTCCCTGAGCCATTAGCCCACATCCTCCATGCACCTATGATCTGCCATAGAGTTTAAGGAATGTCCCACGAAGGCTAGATTCACACTTTGAGCATTTTTTGGAGCTTCGGGCTTCAAACTTAAAAAAATCAATTGTTCTCTATTTCTATGGTGCCTGTTCACACCTGATCGCACAAACAGGCACCATAGAGAACAAAGGATTTATTTTGTTAAGTTTGGATCTTCAAGCTACAAATCACTCAAGTGTGAATCCAGCCTAAGTGTACTTATGACCATACACTGCAGATTAGGAAGACTTAAGGCCCAAAAGCCAGGCAACTCAAAAAGTGGCACCAAGCAGAGTCCAAAAAAGAAAAACAAACGTTACAGGCCAATTCTGCACCCTTTAGTCTAGCCATGGTCCCCCCCCCACCCCAAGGGCAGATCAGAATACGAACAAATTTGAAATTGGCCAAATAGAACAAATATTAAGAACAAAAACATTTTTCTCTCACAGCACAAAGACTACATCCATTCTATGGACACTAGGCTGGGATCCACTGGTTCCAGAACACCATCCTGTAATCTATGAGTAAAGAAATGCTTATTCTATGTCAGTGTAAATTACCTCTTTGCCTCGGATAGCGAGCCCAGAGTCTCCACCAATCCTCCCCTTGAGATTAAGTTCACTTTCCCCATGCCGGCACAGATATATGGAGCGTGGAGTCACATGGATATTCATAAGGTAGTATACAATCCTGCTTTGAATATGATCCATAACATGGTTAACTAGATATCTGCGGCCAACATCCATGATTTTAATATAGGACAACTCCCTATAACAGAAAACACAAAACAAGTACACATTAAAGAACACAGGTTATATTCTTGTTTGGTCAAATTTAAGAAGGAAAGACTGGTTTAAAAAAAACAAAAAAAAAAAAAACATTCACAAAAGAACCTAATTTTCCAGTCTTCACAACAATTTAAACTGTATTTCCATTTTGCAGTCAAATCTGGATAACACCTGCTTTATATTTGTTATAGGTTTTCATTCACATATCAGAACTTTAAAAGCGTTCAGAAGCGTTTTTACAGTACATGTAGAGGGGAAAAAAAATAATAGTTAGAAAAAAGCTGTTATGAGTGTTTTGCATTTTCTGCTGGAAAAACACTCCAGAAAAACCTCTACAAAAACAATTTTTTTTCTGCTCTTTGACACTGAAGCTCAAAAATGCTGATAGCCTAAATTGGTGTGCATGGACACATAGGATAACACTATTCAGCTTCTAAGAGCATAAAAAAAAAATGCTAACAACAGCTTCTAGGAGCTTAAATGTGATACTAAAGACAAAGCAGAACTCCGGGCAAAAACATTTTTCCCATATCCTTGCTACTGATCTCCTACCTTCACTGAATAGGTCTTCCATCTTCTGGTCCATGCAGTAGTTGCTCTGAAGTAAGCTGATGATTTTCAAATCAAAATTATTAATCCCCTGTGGTTTCCCGTTTGAAAACAGTGGCTGCTATGCCTCCTATTCCCCCAGCCACTGGATTTGGCACAGTCCCTCTGTAGTTTTCCCTCCAGGCTGCTGTGATGTATTCCCCTTCCTGTTCACTCTAGTGGGTGGAGTCAGACTCCTGGTCTGTACCTCCAACCCAGGCAGTGTTCTAAGAATGACAGGTCAGGACACTCTGGGGTTTATTTACTAAAGCTGGAGAGTCCAAAATCAGACTCCCTTCTGCATAGAAACCAATCAGCTTCCAGGTTTCATTGCCAAAGCTTCATTGAACAAGCTGAGGTTAGAAGAAGGATTGGTTTCTATGCAGAAGGGAGTCTGATTTTGGACTCTCCAGCTTTAGTAAATAAACCCCTCTGGGTCTGTCCTGCCTCCCACAGCTTCAGCTAGGGGTCTCTGCACCTCCTCCGCTAGAACAGTGTGTATACTATACATTACTAGGGATGCACCCATATATCGGCGGCTAAAAATCATGTCATCCGCATTTTGCTGATAGGAAAAAAAGGTGCTGATAATTGCCATCGAAAAACGTGATTTTTAACTGCAATTTTGCCACATTTACCTGGAATTTTTCCACGTTTAGGATGAGTGTTTCATAGGTCATGTGACAAAGCATTAAACCGCAGCACAAGTGTTTTTTTCTAAGCGGTTTCAATGCATTTCAGGCCTGGTTCACAGCAATGCAGTTTCAGTTTTGTCCATTTTGCCATGCTTTTTGCATGTACATTTTTGATGCATTTAAGTTTTTTTTTTTGGCCAGCTTCTTGCTAGGCAGATTAAAAATGCAAAACATAGAAAAATGTTTTATTTTTATACCTGCTTTTTTTGATGGGTTTTCTGTATTTTTTTTGGGCCAACTTGCTAGGCAGATTAAGGCAACATTCACACTAGGGCATTTCAAATCGATTTGAAAATGCGCTGTGAAATTGTGCAATTGCGTGTTCAGGTGACATTTATTTCAATGGCACATGAAAACATGAGATGATCGCGGTGCCTTTTACCGCCAAACACAGCAAAAACGCCCCGCATTTTACGGTGCCATTGAAATGAATGGCCTCTGAACATGCAATTGTGCTTTTTTTTTTTTTTTTTTAAACATTTTCACAGCGCGTTTTCAAATCATGGCGATTGCGCCTGCGATTTGAAACGCCCTAGTGTGAATGGAGCCGTAAACGAGTTTTTAAACTGCCCAGCAACAAGCTGGCTACAAAAAAAAAAAAAAAAAAACCCACCACAACGCACCAAAGAGCACATGCAAAAACGGATAAAACCACAAACCAGGTCTGAAATGCATTGAAAAACGCAGCAAACACTACAAAAAACACATACACGTGTCACGTTTTTTGATGTGTTCTGAATCTGCCGAACAACAAGTTTGTCAAAACAAAAACCACAAAACGCATCAAAAACATGTCAAAACATGCATGCAAAAAACTCACTGCAAAGCTGACAAAAACTGCATTGGTGTGAACCAGGCCTTAAATGCATTGAAAAAGCAGCAAAAACACATGCTGCAGTTTTGATGAGTCAGATGACCTATGAAAAATGCACCCTAAACGTTGGTAAAAAATCACAGCAAAATTGTGGCAGCATCGCTGGTAAAAATCGCAGTATAAAATCACAGGAAAATTGCGGTAAAAACCTGGGTAAAATAGCAGCAAAATGCATTTGTTGTGCGGAAAAATGTATTAACAGTTTAGTGTTTTGTGTAGGGTAGTGTACTAATGGATGATTTTTTTACCTATCCTGGAGTTCTTATTTAAATTTAAAATAAGTATTTGATCCCCTGCTGATTTTGAATGTTTTCCCACTCACAAAGAAATGATCAGTCTAAAAATCGAAGGGTAGGTGTGTTGTAACAGACAGAATAGCAACAAAAAATTCAAAAGAAATGCAGGTCTAAAAAATTATGCACCGATTTGCATGAGCGAAATAAGTATTTGATCCCCTATCATTTAGCTAGATTTCTGGCTACCAGGTGTCTTTTATACAGGTAACAAGCTGAGATTAGAAGCCATCTCTTTATTATTATGCAGGATTTATATAGCGCCAACAGTTTTGCCCAGCGCATTACAATATAACGGGAGACAATACAGCAACAATACAGTTCAATACAAGAGGGAAAGGAGGGCCATGCTCCTTGGAGCTTAGAATCTAGAAGGGAGGGGCTAGTGGTACAAAAAGGTAGTAACTGTGGGGGATGGACTGGTTGGAAGAGTGGAGATTCCATTATTAGCTGAGGGCAGGATAGGCTTCCTTGAAGAAATAGCTTTTCAGAGATCGCCAAAAAGTGAGCAGAGTAGGCGACAGTCTGATTAATTGGGGTAGAGAGTTCCAGAGGATGTGGGAAGCTGTGGAAAAGTCCTGGAGACAAGGGAGCTAGAGAGCAGGAGGTCTTACAGGGAGAAGAGAGTATGGTTTGGGTGATATTTAGAGACAAGATCATTGATGTAATTTGGGGAAGAGTTATAAATGGCTTTACACGTTATTTTTCATGTTTTGAATTTTATCCGTTAGGTAATGGGAAGCCAGTGGAGGGATTGGCAGAGAGGGGTGGCAGATACCGAACGGTTAGTAAGGTGGACGAGTCTGGCAGCAGCATTCTTGATAGACTGAAGAGGGGATAGCCTGCGATTCGGTAGGCCAATGAGGAGGGAGTTACAATAGTCAAGGCGAGATATAGCAAGGGAGTGAATAAGATGCTTAGTGGTTTCCGAGGTTAGGAACGGGCGTATCGTGGAGATGTTGCGGAGGTGAAGTCTACAAGATTTGGACAGTGATTGGATTTGGGGGTGAAAGGACAGATGGGAGAATAGGATTACACCTAGCACCCTGGCATTGGGTGAGGGAATGATGATTGTGTTATTGATCCTGATGGAGAAGTCAGGGGAGGGGGCACGGGCTGGGGGGAATACGAAGAGCTCAGTTTTGGAAAGATTGAGTTTGAGGAAGTAGAGTGACATCCATGCTGATATGTCACTTAGTAGGTTAGTAATGCGAGAGGAGACTGAAGGGGTGAGGTGAGGGGTAGAAAGAAAGATTTGTGTGTCATCAGCATAGAGATGGTACTTAAAGCCGTGGGAGTTTATCAAGTGACCAAGGGAGGAGGTGTAGATGGAAAAGAGAAGGGGTCCAAGGACAGAACCTTGAGGGACCCCTACAGAAAGAGGGAGTGAAGAGGAGGAGGCAGCGTTATAGGTAACGCTGAAAGAGCGCTGCAATAGGTAGGAGGAGAACCAGGAGAGAGCAGAGTATCTGAGACCAAGAGAGTGCAGTTTTTTTGAGGAGGAGGGGGTGGTGGTCAACCGTATCAAAAGCCGCAGAGAGGTCAAGTAGTAAGAGTACGGAGTAGTGGCCATTGGTTTTAGCTGTTAGATCATTAGTGAGTTTTAGTAGGGCAGATTCAGTGGAGTGTAGTGAGCGAAAGCCAGACTGTAAAGGGTCAAGAAGGTGGTTGTCTGTGAGGTGGGAGCTCAGGCGATTGTAGACTAAGTGTTCTAGGAGTTTAGAGGTAAATGGCAGCAGGGAGATAGGTCTTAAGTTGTTCAGGTTGGTGGGGTCCAGGGAGGGCTTTTTAAGTATGGGAGTGATGTGTGCATGCTTGGGAGGGGAGGGGAAGGCACCAGTAGAGAGGGAAAAATTGAGGATGTGAGTTGGGGAGCATAGGATGGAAGAAGAGGGTGACCGTAGTAGTTTGTGAGGGGACAGGATCCAGGGGGCAGGTAGTGAGACGGGCTTCTGAGAAAACCTTAGTGACCTCTTCGGTAGTAGCAAGGTCAAAAGAGGAAAGTGTTAAGGGAGGTTTAGTAGAAGGTATGCTAAGTGGGATGGATGTCTATGCAGTGGCAATGCCCCTACGTATTGTGTCAATCTTATTTTTGAAATGAATCTCTTAAAAAGGGAGTGCTGCTAATCTCATTTTGTTACGTGTATAAAAAGACACCTGACAACAGGAGCAATCAAACAATCAGATTCCAAACTCTCCACCATGGCAAAGACCAAAGAGCTGTCCAAGGATGTCAGGGACAAGATTGTAGACCTACACAAGGCTGGACTGGGCTACCAAAACTATCACCAAGCAGCTTGGTGAGAAGGCGACAACAGTTGATGCAATAATTTGCAAATGGAAAACACACAAAACTGTCAGTCTCTCTAGGTCTGGTGCACCATGCAAGATCTCACCTCGTGGAGTGTCAATGATCTTGAGAACAGTGAGGAATCATCCCAGAACTACACGCGAGGATCTTGTCGATCTCCAGGCAGCTAGGACCACAGTCATCAAGAAAACAATTGGTAACACACTATGCCGACAAGGACTGAAATCCAGCAGTGCCTGCATGGTCCCTCTGCTCAAGAAAGCACAAGTCCAGGCCAGTCTGAAGTTTGCCACTGAACATCTGAATGATGCAGAGGACAACAAATTGAAAGTGTTATGGTCAGAGGAGACCAAAATCAAGCTCTTTGGCATCAACTCAACTCGCCATGTTTGGAGGAGGAGGAATGCTGCCTATGACCCCAAGAACACCATCCCAACTGTCAAACATGGTGGTGGAAACATTCTGCTTTCGGGTATTTTTCTGCTAAGGGGACAGGACAACTGCACCGCATCAAAGGTATGACGGACAGGGCAATGTATTGTCAAATCTTGGGTGAGAACCTGCTTTCCTCAGCCAGGCCATCGTGGATGAGTGTTCCAGCATGACAATGAACCAAAACACATGGCCAAGGCAACAAAGGAGTGACTCAAGAAGAACACATTAAGGTCCTGGAGTGGCCTAGTCAGCTCCAGGGAGCTGAGAGTTCGAGTTCCCAAACATCAGCCACCAAACCTTAATGACTTAGCGAGGACCTGCCAAGAGAAGTGGGCCAAAATCCCTCCTGAGATGTGTGCAAATCTGGTGGCCAACTACAGGAAACGTCTGACCTCAATACTTGGTGGCAAACCCCTTGTTGGCAATCACAAAGTCAGTGTTTTGTGAAGGAGATCAAATACTTATTTCCCTCATGAACTTGGAAATCAGTGCATAATTTGTTAGACAAGCATTTCTTTTGAATTTTTTGTTGCTATTCTGTCTCCAAGTGTTACAATACACCTACCATTCGATTTTTAGACTGATCATTTCTTTGTGAGTGAACATTCAAAATCAGCAGGGGATAAAATACATATTTCCTTAAGTCATATTTTCCTTGGGGATCAAATACTTTTTACTCACTGAACTGCAACTCAATTTGTAACATTTGTATAATGTGTTTTTTCTGGATTTTTTGGTTGATATTCTGTCTCTATCATTTTTATCAAGGTTTAGGAGTGTGTCTATGGGAATGTTTGACCATTCTTCCAGAAATGCATTTGTGACGTCAGGCACTAATGTCAGACAAGAAGGCCTGGCTCTCAGGCTCCGCTTTAATTCATCCCAAGGGTGTTCTATCGGGTTGAGGTGAGGATTCTGTGCAGGCCAGTCATGTTCCTCCTCCCCAAACGCGCTCATCCATGTCTTTATAGACCTTGCTTTGTGCACTGCTACGCAGTCATGTTGTAACAGGAAGGGGCCATCCCCACAATGTTCCCCCAAAGCTGGGAGCATGAAATTGTCCAAAATGTCTTGGTATGCTGACGCTTGGGAGTTCCCTTCACTGGAACTAGGGGGCCAAGTCCAGCCCCTGAAAAACAACCCCCGCACCATAATCCTCCCTCCACCAAACTTTACACAATGCAGTCAGGCATGTACTGTACTCCTGGCAACTGCCAAACCAAGACACGTCCAACTGATTGCCAGACAGAGAAGCGCGATTCGTCACTCCAGAGAACAAGTCTCCACTGCTGTAGTCCAGTGGTGGCGTGCTTTACACCACTGCATCCAACGCTTTGCATTGCACTTGGTGATGTAAGGCTTGGATGCAGCTGCCCGGCCAAGGAAACCCATTCCATGATGCGCTCTATGCACTGTTCTCCTAACCTGAAGGCCACACAAAGTTTGGAGGTCTTTAGTAATCAATTCTGTAGAGTTGGTGACCTCTACGTACTGTGCACTTCAGCATGTGCTGACCCTGCTCTGTCATTTTACGTGGCCTACCATTGGATGAGTTGCTGTTGTCCCCAGTTGCTTCCACTTTGTTATAATACCACTAACAGTTGACTGTGGAATATTTTTAGTAACAAGGAAATTTCACGGATGTACTTATTGCACAGGTGGCAACCTATCACGGTACAACACTTGAATTCAGTGAGCTCCCGAGAGCAACCCATTCTTTCACAAATGTTTGTAGAAGCAGTCTGTATGCCTATGTGCTTGATTTTATTAATGACCAAAACTTATATGACTAAACAACTTTAAGAGAAGGCCATTTTTGCTGACTTGTGACTTTGTTAAACATAAAAAAAAGGACTGTGCAATACAAGTGAATACCATTCTTATAAGATAAGGCCATATCTGCCAACTTATGATTGTGTTAAATATAAATAAAGGACTGAGCAATACAGGAAAACACTTATTCTAAGATAAGGCCATATCTCTGGACTCTATTAACTAGAAAAAGGACTAAGCAATATAGGAGAATATCATTATTAAAAAAAGCATTAACAGCACACAAACATCAAGATAGCTGTCTTTTTAAACCACCTGCTGTCCACTGGTCATTTAAAAAGAGCCTGGACTTTAAAGTGGTAAAAACAAGCTCACAGATGCAACGGAGTTTGGTACAATTTTTTGTTTGATCTGGCTCCCATGTAAAAGTCATCTGGGTGACTCTAAAGGTCACTTTTACAGTAGCTTAAAGAACTACCCTTTCCCATGGTTCTAGGGCCCAACCAATCCTTTCAGGAGTCTGGGACCACAGTAAAAGGGAGTCAGGATGGGAAGCAGGAGCAGATCAGGGAACATCCATTCCCCAATATGCCCATAGGTCATAAACTGGAAAAGCTCAAGCGCTGAGCATTTCTGGGTTCAGAGCAGAAATGCCAGGTGAACGATAAAGCACAGTGGTAAAAAAATGTACATTAAAATAAAAATATAATCTGCGAAAAACATTTTTTGTGCCTCAGTTTATAAACGTTTGATGTGAAAATTTGTGATGTTAAAAACAGAATATAAAAAAAATAGAATAGATTCAGTCTTGTGTATATGGGCCTTTACTCTATTTGTTGCACAAAACATGACAGAAGCCTAAAACAACAGTGTGGACTAGGCTGAAGACTGTATTGCTAAGCACAAAATGGCCAAGAAACCCCTTTTTGCACCCCTTTTTAAAAATCTACATTTTATACTATAGTAAATCCATAAAATAAAATTCCTGCTGAAAAAACAAAAAGATACAGCTAACTTGTATAGCATTGCTGTAATTACAATACACTGCACTAACGTGGAAAATGAATAGGAGCAAGAAAGGACATACTTGTCAAAGTTTTCATCAAGCATCTCATAGGAGTTTTTGTAACAATCTATCCTCTTCATGAAATCCTCAGTGGCTTCCTCAATGGTGCAGTTTAAATAGTCCGGGCTGCCCAACTTCACTTGCTACAAAACAAAGCGGAAAACTCCTGTAAGCGAAAGTTAGATTTTCTAAACATTTCAGTGGCATAAATTCAGTGCCCTATGCAGTCAAAAGATGATAGCATATGAGTATGCTACTAGGAGTGAATACACCGAGACCAACTGAACCCATAAGCTCAATTTTTCCAAACTGAATGCTACGGTTTTCCAAAGAATAAGCTGGTGTAATGGTGTAAATACATAGCACATATGCTCAGATAACACGATTAGGCAAACCACTGCTCAGAATACACTGGGGGCAAGTACTTTTCACTACCATTGCATGCCTTTTCTCTTTAAAGCCCAAGCCCCCACTAGAGTCTGTCACTTACCTGATATTCCTCACTCCGGCATTCCCCTCATCTGCCCAATGATCCAGTCTGATTGGAGCCTCAGTATCATCACATAAAATACAGAATCATTAACCCTATATGGTATGCTGAAGAGGCTGGGGTGTGACAAACTGGTTGTAGCTTACACAGCAGCCTATGAGGGACCATTCATTTCAATAGGCTGCCTTACCTGCAGAAACTCTAGGGGGGGATAAAAAAAAAAAAAAAAAAAAAGGAGTTGCAAGGTATTTTTCCCCTAATTACACTGCACCTAGTGAACCTGTGCCACAAAAAGAATGCCATCTGGCATGCACAAGAATGCACCACATTTTCCAATGCGAGTGGGTACCCCTGTGTGTCTGCTAAAGAGCAGTGCATTTTGCCTGCAGGTCAGAACACGTGCAATTTTGCGAGCATTCCTGACCTACACAATTGTAAACCTAGGCTAGGGTAAGAATTTACTCTATATTCCTCTGCCCTTGGCAATTAACATTTGCAGTGTGGTTTGGGGGTTGAAGCACTGCAAGGGTGCTTTTATTTTTATTTTACTGGGAGTTAGGCACTTTAGGTTAGCTTAGGTTCAATTTAAAGCCTACCATAACAGTGCTGAAGTACAAGCACCCTTCTGGTCCCTGCAGGTACCTATATTACTCTTCAATAAATACCTATGTCCCTGCAGCTCCTAGGCCCAAGCTTTACTTTCCAAGAAAGGGAAGCGCCGGTTTCTCCTCAAATACAGGATCAACATGGGGCAAAATAATGCCCAAGAAGTTGACAGCTACCGAGAAAGCTGTTTATATGAACAGATAAGAGTCTCAACCTTACAAGTCTAGTTAAACAAAAAATAACTACTACTAACCCTACAATGGCCTGGATAAAAAACCTTAAAGCATATGCTAAGAAGATTAAAATAAAACATTAAGGGCCAATTATTCACACCAAATGCAGTTTTTGACTGTATTCCAATTGCACAGAGTCCAAAATCCAAGTTATCCTATGGCCACACTTCACACAATTAGGATCCATGCACACTGGGCTTAAAAAAACGCTGCTTCTACAAGAGTTAAGCATTTTGCCTGTAGAAGCAGCATAACGTTGTCCTAAATTTGTCCATGCACATTATTACATTTAGAGGCATATTTTAAAGCTCAGTATTTGGAGGCAAAAAAAAAAAAAAAAAACCCTCCAAAAAAACACCTTTTTTTTTTTGAAAGGCAATTTTTCTCGCAGAAAAAAAAAACAAACAAAAAAAACAAAACAAAAAAACACAAACAAACCCCACAATGATAAATGCTCCTAAATGCCTCTACAAAAATGCTCTGAGTTTTTTTTTTTCTGCCAAAAGATCTGGCTTTTTTTTTTTTTTTTTTTTTATACAGTCCACTGTACATGGACCCTTACAATGGGGTGCAAAAAAAATACAGCAAACTGCATTTTTTCCACACTTCAAATGTGCAAAAATGCACACACAAACACATGCAAATGCAATGCACACAAAAGCCCCAAAAAAGGAAGAAATTGACCTCAAAAGACAAACATGGATAGGAAAAAAAAAAAAATGTGGTAACGAAAGTAAATGAGCACAAAAACACACAAAATGAATGCAAATGTGTTTCTGGCTGAAATTTGCTGGAGAGAATCCCCCAGCCCTCACCACCCACTCTTTTCCCTTCTCTCTCCTCCTTCCCAGGCAAAACTCCTCCGAACCCCTTCTTACTCTCATCTTTCTTATTTTCTCCTCCCCCCACCCCCCCTTTTTTCCTTATTCTCCCTTTTCCCCGTTTTTTTTTTTTTCCCCCCACATTATGGCACTGGCTACTAACAGCAAAGAACAACCCTCACCAACAGACTCTGCACTGATCTTCTTAGCTGTGATTTTCAGCACACGGTTTACTGGTAACATATGCATTTAGCCTCAATGCCAGGAGTTACCATGACCTTGAAAGTATTGATGTAGTGGGCTTTGTGGGCTGGAATCGCATTGCTGAGCTTTTTGACTGTGGTTTGCACCCTTTTTCTATTGTAAAACTTAAAAACCAATACATTTTTTGTAAAAACAAATACGTGCATACAAATGTGTAGAAAATAACGCGCAGTAGATGCTCAGTTTTTGGTGTGAATGGGCCCTTAAAACCTATACCAACTCATTTGGGCTTGATACACATCTCAATAATTCACCGTGTAAATTTTGCACTATTATTCATATGTAGATAAAGATTGAGGTTTTAAAACAAAAAGTCGTGCATTAAAAAAAAAATATATCACAAGCATCTCCTAAATGGGCCTTGAAACCCATGTGCATAGGCTTTAATATATACACATAGTATATGGTATCAATAAAATCAAGGCCCATAGATTGATGAATCTGAAGACTTCAAAATACCTTTTTTTTTTTTTAACTTTGAAAGTCAGTCAAGTGATACAATATGGGCAGAGCTCTGCTGGTCACGACTGATTGGTAAAAAAAAACAAAAAAAAAAAACCTAATCTAAATCTCCCACATATTCACATTCAGCACAGCCCCCCTGCAAGGGAGCACTTTTACTTTCCCGGGAGCTGGGCTGTCATCCTTTGACTTTTTCATCCTTGTGGTGGGTCAGTAATTCAGAGGCAAGTCAAAACCCTTGATCTGCATGCTTGCTCATGGTCAGGGGTTTAAAAGGAGAAAGTTCTTGCAGGTAAAAAAATGTGCAGTTATTTTTGTCTGCAGGAGTCTGTAAAGCAGGCATCACTAAATGGTGGACCGTGGTCCAGATCTGTACCCAGAAACATTCCTTTCCGGACCACAGCTTCACCAAATAGTTGCCTGAATGCCCGCTCCCCGCTGTCGGCTCCCTCGCCTGCCACTATTACCCTAAAACACTTCAAGTTCAGACAATTTACCCCCTTCCTGTCCAGGCCAAATTTTCAGCTTTCAGTGTTATTACACTTTGAATGACAATTGTGCGGTCATGCAACACTGTACCCATATGAATATTTTAGCTTTTTTTGAGACAGATAAAACTTTATTTTGATGATATTTATTCACCACTGGGATTTTAATTTTTTTTGCTATATAAAAAAGGAAAAAAAGTCCAAAAAATTTTAATTAAAAAAAAAAAAAAAAAAAAAAAAAGTATAAGAAAAAAAGTTTCTTATAAAATTTTGCAAATAAATAATCTTTCTTCATAAATCTTGGCCAAAATTTATTCGGTTATCTTTTTAGTAAAAAAAAACAAAAACAAAAAACAACAAAAAAAAAGAAAAAAAAAAAAAAAAAAAAAAAAAAACTTAGTTTGACCAAAAATTATAGTTAAAAAAAAAAACCTAAATAATAAAATATTATGTATAAAAATTTTTTTTTAAACATACTGTCATCTTAGCAGTACAGTGTCACCATAATGACAGTGTACTGCTTGTGGGGGGGGTGATGAAGATTTCTCTCTTTTTTTTACACTGATTGCTTTTACAGCCTTTATGGGAGTAAAAGCAATCATTTCTCCTCTTTGGGTGCATTCTTGAAGACACTGAGAAATACTGTGAGAGCTGTGATTGGTCACAGCTTGTCACATGGTACAAAGCTGTTGTGAATAGCCTTGTACCATGTGACCTCTGATCATTCAGAGATTTCACTAGTAAGCAATGTCAGAAGTGACATCTTGCTTACTACTATTCATGTGATCACTGATTGGCCAATCAGTGATCACATGATTGGGACCTCACACAGAGGTCCCATACAGCGATCGGTGTTCCGCTCTGTCCTCTGGACACAGTGGGCACCGGATCGCAGTGCCACGCACTCCCAGGGAGCGCGCACAACCTGAAGATGCGGGCGCCGTAAATGAACGGCAAGCTGCTCCTGCACTGCTCCCGTCCGGCCATTTATGTACATGGGCCGGAAGTGGTTAAGGTATGGCACATCATTTGAGGCGCAGCAGGTATGTCCCTTCCATAACATTGCAGCACTCCCTCTCCCTCCCCACATCCTTATTATTCACACAAGACGAAAAACACAGCAGGTCTGGGCAAAGGGAAGGACTTTTCGTGTTAGGAAGCGAGTGATTGGTTGCTAGGCAGCGGGGCGGTCCAAGCAGATGTTTACCTGCCTTTAAACATGAAAAGTCCCACCCTATGTCCAGACCTGCCATGCTTGCCGTCTTGTGTGAATAAGGTAGGACAGGGTGGGGAGGAAGGGGGGAGTACTGCAATGTTATGAAAGGAACAGGAATCTGTAATATGCAGCGAGGACTGTGATTCGGCGATCTGTGATGGGGGGGGGGTCTTTGATGGGACGGGGTCTGTGATGTAAAAGTGGGGGAATAGGGGTAGTGGGAGGAACTATGATGTGAAGGATCTGAGTCATAGCACCAACTTGACGTTCCGTTTGGTGTTCCGCTGGAAGAAAATTTTACTGACCGGACTGGACCCCCCGTGAATTTTAATTCAGTACTTCTGCTGTAAAGCATTGCACCAGCGTTCAGCAGATTGCTGGTGCCATGCAAGTCTCCTGCAGATCTGTCAGTATATCTGCTTGCCAGTACGGGATGTACAAGCAACCAGATATACTGATAGGAAGAATGAATGAACTACCACAGCGCTCTACAGCCGCTAAGGCTGTTAGGACTTGACACTGAACACTGTTTTTTTTTCTTTTAAACATGACAGTTCGCAACGGGGGGGGGGGGGGGGGGGGGGGGGGGGGGGTTTAGTGGAGAAGATCCCCTGGCTAGACCAGTCTGATCATAACATGTTACATGGAACACCCTGGATATGGGTGTATGTAACATGTTACGAAAGGTGAACTTATCCTTTAAAGCAGTGTTTCTCAAGCAAGAGTGCGGTCTGGCTTCCCCCAGGGTACCGCAAGCACAGGACCCAGCTTGTCCCAGATCAGAGTCATGCGTTGCCTTGACTAGGGTTAGGGGGGGGCATCTAACATGATTGGAGGGGGATGGACTCTGATGTACAGTTCATGTCATCAAGGCAGTTGTGTGCATTGTCCCAGGCTAAGGGTTTCCCATTGATAAACATTTAGGTTTCTCTCTCTCCCCCCCCACCCCCATTTTAGTCTGGGGTGCCTCTCGAGAATATGCATACTTTTAAAGTGTGCTGCAGAAAAAAAAAAAAAAAAAAAAAAAAAAGACTAGAGATGCTAGTTTAAAGTATTGAGGTTATTGGATCAGCATGACAGCCAGGTGACTAGCAATTTCAGGATGAGTCAGATACGGTAGCCTACATAAATTCCCGTTGATAAGTTTCGTTTACAGCCATCAGGACCTTTGTAAACGGGAAGGTGAGCATGAAGGACTGGTTGACACAGAACATGCTTATTCAGGGACAAAAAAACAAAAAAAAAAAACAAAATGGGAAAGACCTATCAGTCCTATCATTTACATAATCCTAGCCTAAAATGGGTTCTAGTCTAGTATAAACTGCTGTAGAATACTGTAACCCCTAGGGAAGTCCAGAATCCGGCTGTATCTGTCACAGTAGTAATTTTTCAACTAAGTACTGTAGAACTAGAGGACTTATATCCTAGACAAAGGCAGACTAACCCTTATACAAGAAAGGCTAACAAAAGCAGTAAAAGCAACATTTAGTATAAATGGATACTGAATGTACAAGAGAGTTTCAATGTGAGAGGATAAAGATTTAGGTTATGGTTTATTCGAAGTGAGAACAATGGGGAAGATTGGATATACTGCTTACCACAATGTTTTCCGCAATAACTTCAGGGTCAACACATACCGACTCCACAAAGAATGTCTTTATATGCACAAGGGAAGAAAGACATTTTTAGTTCATGGCCATTTCTAAATAGGCCAGAGATCACTGTTCATGTTTATTAAAATCCTATAGTTCCGTCTCGTGGCCTTTTTATGTTTGACTTGCATATATTTAAATAAAAAAAAAAAAAAAGAAGAAGAAGAACAGAAAAAAAAAGGAACGCTCGTCAATAAAAATTAAAGTAGATAACAAGAAATTCAACTTCACACCACCTACCTACTGTCAGAATAACCAAATATTAGTTAACCCTGTACTGAAAGGAGGCTGCCATTTTATGGTGAAAATTCAAGTTGCCCAAGTGTCAAACTAATTTAATAGTTTCAACATTTCTTACCCGTTACTAACCTGAAACAATGAATGAATTAGATTTTTTTGACCGTGTTTAAATTGCTGTCTTGGCAACCACTCCCTCTATTTCTATCACAGAGACACGAAAATAAAAATCTACCTAAAACGGGTTACAGACGAAAATATACTGTAGGTCCAACAAAAAGTTTAATTTTAAAACTCAACTGGACCCTTATTTTATTTGTTAAGAAATTAGATTTAAACTTTTTTTTTTTTTTTTTTTTTTTTTTTTTTCTTTCCTTCAGTATGTGATGGTGTTTTTGCCCTATGTCACACTGCCCTTCCCTAACAGCATTCTGGAGATTTAACCACTTCACTCTGTGTACAGATAAACATTTTACAAGTTCGTTATTCATCCTAACTGCAATACAAAAAAGGCACAACTGCTCTTAGGGCTAGTTCACACCACAAAAACACTCTGGGTGCATTCCGGATGAGTTTTTGCTTACAGTTCACACCATAGTTATGACTTGTATATGCATGCATTAGTTAGTATCAAATCAGTGTGTTCCAAGCATTTACAAATTTTTCAGCAACCTTCAGTTTGGGGGATGCCAGACAAATACAGTATGAATGGGAGCACTGATTCTCACTTTAACCCTTTTGCTTCCAACACTGTATGTCATTGGTGGCAGTGGGGTGGGGGTTACACACATTCCCAGCTGCTATAGCAGCTCCACAAGACAACAGTCTGCTTCCTGTGATCCTCATTAGATTCTGCACTTCATTTTACTTCCACAGAAGGCATTTGCTTCCCCACGGAAAGGGTCTATGGAAAATATAGGTCAAAGAAAATTCACAGTTTTGCAGGAGTGTGTTGGATATCCATTTACTCAGCGCAATGAAAATGGGTAATATATTGCATTTGTGTTTAGTAAAATGAACTTTAGTGCATTTACTGAAAATTTGCCTCTGAAAAAACCAGTTGCGTAAATATCAAAAAACAAAAAATTAGAACTACCACCATTTTATTCTCCAGGGGTCTGCTTTCAGAAAAATATATAAATTTTGGGGGTTTTAACTAGTCTTCAAACTAGAAACGAATTAACTGATCTGGATTGAGAAGGGGCGAAAACGAATATAACAAAATGCTGCTCTGCTTGTTACTGCTATATAAAATCAAGCACAAAGCCATGATATAAGAAAACAACTCACTTTGAATCCATGCTGATCAGCAAATTTAAGAATGGTCTCCCGCCTCTCTCGTGTTGTGTTTGTTGCATCAAAAACCTGTAGATGGAAAAAACTCATTGTAAAGAACCAAAAAGAAACCTGCAATATATGTGAATACACAACATACAATGCAATCAAAGAATTTCACTTCCACCTTTGTTTCTGTGTAGCAGCAGGTTTAAAATGAACCTAGCACAAGTCTAATGCAGTGCTTACAGTACTGACAATTACACAGTTGTCCTGTTTCCTTTTCATAAAAAAAAACAAAAAGCAAAATCTTAAATAAAGTACATCTATATCCCAAATATTTTTTGTTCTAGATAAAAGAAAACGGTTAGAACCTCTGTCAGATTTTACTGCTATGCAAAGCTCTGTTGGACAGATTTTCCTTTCCTCCCATTTATATTCTGCAGACAACCTTTTTCCCCCAGACAAAAAAAGAGGGGAAAACCTGTAACTGGGAAACAGAGGACAATAAAAAGTTGACCGATACTAGTATTGCCTTGCTTACTTTTATATATATAAAAAAAAAAAAAAAAAAAAAAAAAAAAAAAACACCTTCTGTCTGTTAAAAGGTTGTCCCTAGGGCAGGCAGTAAGGGGAAAATCTCTCCAAAAAGACAAAGTGAAGGAATCTCTAACAAAACGTACGGCACAGTAAAAAAAAAAAAAAAAAACTTGACTGGAATTCTAATCCTTCCCCACAACATACAAAGCTGAAGAAAGTTTTGGCTTTAGAAGCTCTTTAAAAAGATAAACAACCTTCTGTTGAAACGGTCATTTTCTGGCACACAAACTGGGCTCGCAGCAGCATTGCTGGCGTCGTCTCCTTTACAGGGGACCGCAGGAGCTGCCATCACTTGGTCCTTCTCTGTTGCATACTTCCGCCCTCAACATCTGTCACTTCCTCATATTGGTTACAAAATAGTGGCGCTTAGGCGCATGCACGGTTGGCATTTTCACCCAGTGTGCATGTGCAGTGTCTCCGGACAGGTCTACAAGCTTCCGGCATGTAAATATTGGTGGTTTCATATACACACACACGCCGTGACAGTCAATCCCCAATAGAGCATGATATTCTTGATGTGTTTCGTGATGTTTTTGTCATTTAGGGAGCAGATCGATCTTTGTGCATTTTATATGCACAGACTCAAAGTCACATCCATGCTCATTCATAATGCATTATATCTCAGGCGCTTTTTGATCTGTCCATCTGGTAAGCACTTTTTATTGCCATTTGATTGCTATAATACAGTCACAGTCCCTTGTTATAGGTTTATCCATTTTTGGCACTTGGAGGTCATTTACTATATGCTTCAAGTTTGGGGACCTCCCCCTTTTTGCGCGTTACTTGCAAGATCCCACCCCCTTTTTTGCACAGATGGGGGAGTGGCTGGGGTTCCATTATCACTTTGCTATAATAATATATCTATATTACACACCATTGTGTTTTTATCCATTGCTCTGAGGAAGGGAGTCTCCTGAAATGCGTTAGTACTTCCCCAGAGGACCTTTGTTGCCTGTGACTGGCAGATTTTGACTCCTTGTCTCTGTTTTTATGACCTTTTTGGCTTGTATGTATTTGTATTTTTATAATACATTTCTTATTATCATGGTAATGCACAAGGAGAATGCGCCCTATTTTGTGCTTTTCTGCCAGAACGATTCACTGCAGGCACGGATCAATCAGAATCGCACTGGCCTGGCCCAGAAGCGCTGCAGAGAAAAGGGAAGTACAGAAGGGACTGGGTGGGGGGTGTATATGGCATTAGTTCACCTTTTCATTTTTTCTGTAAAAGTAAAACAGTTTAATGTGGTCAACTGACTATCCCTGATCCTCAAGTACTTCAATGGGCAGGAATTTGCATACTATTTGCATATCAGGTTGTGTTAGTCTACAAAAGAAAGGTGTTCAGCTTGACAATGGATAGGCTTCTGGCATGTGTGGTGCCCATGCTTGATGAAAAAGGAAAAAATGCCAGTGTTGCATATGGCACATTAGCCACTTCCCACTCTAAGGCAGGTTAGAAAGCAAAGTAAAATAACTTTAGAACAGCAAGTTTCATAAACCATCACCAAGTACATTCAGGAGTAGATATAAATAGTTAAGGCTGCTTACGGTTGTTATATTGGGCCAAATCCCTATGCCATTTCGGGTTTTTGGAACGCACGCGAGGTCCAGAAAGTAGAAAGGTGGTGCACAGATGCGGAGTGTATTGGTGCCGAGATATTGGGCACCATGTTTTGTAAGTGTAAAATTTGTAATACTTTATATTGCCAAGTCTTAATACTGCACAATGAGAGATTCTGCCTTTGTGGCCCTTGGGTGACATTGATGGAGAGACATCGGGTACATAGGACAAGTGATGATTGGAGGAAAGTGAGGAACAGCAGTTGAAGAGCATCTGGGGAAAACAGCGCTTTATGACCTTTTCTTTTAAATAAGAGGGTCATGGATCTTTGGTGAGTGCATTGGGGTGACAAAGGAGGTGAAGCAGTTTGGAAAGATTTGGTGGCACAGAAAAACAGTGCTACATGCAGTCCAACACCAATATGGAAATACTATTTATTGTTTGTTATTTTTGTTCATGGCATTTGGAAATTGAGTGCGAGCTGTCTATGGGGAATGTAAGTGCCCACTTCAGGAGCACCACTAGGTGCTCTTTAAGGGTCAGCTACAAAAATAAATAAATTGCAACGCACCAGTTCTTAAAAGGGGCAGCTACAAAAATATTGCAACACACCTATATTGTGCAGGTGTACATAAGGCTTCACTATATTTGCATTTCACTTTTGGTAATATGTGAATAGTATTATGGTTCTGCACAGGCAGTAATTTAACTTTGAGGAAAGGAGCCATATATCCAATTTATTTTTTATTTTTATTTGGTTCATGGTATTTGGAGAGTGTAAGCACCCACATATAGTCTCATTTGTACATGTAATGTATACTTACAGCCACATGCCCTCCTTCCTCTACAAGATACTTCCTGACATCATCTAAAGCCAATAAGGCACACTGCCTGTAGGACAAGAAGTGCAAAAAACGGTGTCAAAAGCATGAGACGTTATTAAACAAAACTTGCAATTTAAAGATTTCAGACATGTACTAAAGAGCAGAACCAACCATTACTTTTTTCTGAACTTTATAGTGACTGGGTTATCCCAAGTAGATCATAGCAACACTGAAAAGTTTCTGAAATAACAGAAGTCCCTCTGAATGGGAACAGAGGTGGCTTTGTGTCTAAACTAGGTCAGAGTACACAGGGACTTGAGGGCTTCACAAGAACTATATTCAGCATTTGCTGGAATAAGGTCCAGCAAGTGGACAAAATTACTTCAAGCAGTTAAAAAGGAAACTGCACACTTTATCCAAGTATGGTCAGCTTTAGAACTATACAGAATTGAATCAAATTGTTAAACAGCTGAAAATAATCCAGTGATTGTTACACCAATACGGTGATTTACAACGTCACACACCCTTAAGCCCTGGTTCACACTGGACTGGACTTTGGATTTGTGCAACTTCAAGTGACCTCAAAGCCACATGCCAGAGCGAATTCATGTGCGCTTGGCAGACATCTCTGCAACTTCATGTACAGATGTCTATGCAAGTCGCACATGAAATTGCAAAAAATAGTGCAGGAACCTTTTTTCCAAACCGATTTGAATGGTTCAATTGCTGACAATAGGGAGTGACATATCATGTGATTTGAAGCTTTCAAAACGCATGACAAGTTAAAAGAGTAATCCAATTTCTACACATTTTGGTAATCTTTTGTTAATCATTTCAGATTGTGAGCCAAGTCATTTGCACGCTCTCTTTACCCCTTGGGTGAGATTTCTGTGCTTATTTTCCCAGGTACAGCAACCTACCCTAGCCATTATGAGAAATGGTTCTGCCTGGATACCTTTGCATACCAAATCGCTACATATGCCAATGTAAAATAATGAATAAATGTAGGGACCAAAAAAAAAAAAAACACCCAAAAATGTAAATTATTTCTCTGAGTATATTAGGGGACACAGGATGAAATAATTTAGATACACTGGGTTATGCTGCTGCCTTCAGGAGATGGCAGCTTGAAGAAATGTACGATTTAAACATATGAACTGAAGAAAAAGGTGGCAGACTTGCAAATCAAAACCTTGAGAAACAGTTGTCTGATGTTGAAAAGCCCAGGAAGCAGTAAATTATCTAGTGGAGTACACTTTGAGGGGGGGAGATAAAACCTTGTCATGCATGGTTTTGTTTTTTTTTTTTTTTAACCAACCTGTCTGCACTGTGCAGCTGAGTGTGTATTTTCGGCAATGCCGAGATGAATGGGTCAGTAGTTGCAGGGAGCTACAGGACACCGCAGCACTGGGAGAGAAGGCGATTATAGTTCTGATTTCCAGTCTATTTGCCTGACAGACAAAGAAGCAAAAGAGGACTGAAAGAACCACCTCTCCAGTGCTTCAAAGGGGTAAATACCGGGAACAGACGTGCTGCTAGCCTTGGAACCAGGTCTTGGTGGTGCAGCCCTCTTCTGACTGGGGGATCAAACCACAAACTGGAAAAGGAAGCACACGGGGAGCACAAACACCTAGCGCATGAGCTCTGAGGAAGGGGATACCATCCCTGAAACGCGTCAGATGCCAACCTCACTACCAGTCGGGTACTCTGCCATTACGTTGGATCATCTCAGTGGTTTTACAGGCTGCATATTATCTGCATATCCATCTTATCTTGCGAGTATGTTTTCATTTGTATACTTCGAATAAACCTTGGATAATGCGCTAGCGGTTTGTGCCCCATGTGTTTCCTTTTCCAAAGAACCCAATGAGCCCTGGTGAAAATAAAAAGATAAGCAGGCTATGCTCTATGTGACCATGGCAAATGACATACAGACCATTTGAAGGAAGCTGTAGCTGAGAGACTCCGACAGCATTTACCACATCAAGACAATGGAGGGAAATCCCCTTTGGATGTCATGGAGCAGGACATAGAGAATGGAGAATGTCCAGGCTAAGGTGAAAGAAAGAAATTACATTGACAGGATAAAAAGGCCTAAGGCCTCATGGCAACGTTGTCTGTGTGCCACAAAAATGGGTTTTGTACAGGTTGAGCATGTCAAATCAAAATCACCTCGCAGATGTGATGGGATTACGAATAGCAAATCTGTGTGTAAGAATAGACAAAGGAATATCCTTGATAGCTTCAAAGGGTAGGTTCTGAAGAACCTGCAGACCCAGGCTGAGATCCTACATGGTTACTGGGATATGTACAGGGGATTAATGTGTGCAACACCCTTTATGAAAGTCCTCACTAAGGAGTGAGAGGCAAAGGGTCTTTGAAAAAGAACCACCAGGGTCAAGAATTGTTCTTTGATCGTACTTAAGGCCAAAATGCTGGTAGAAATCAGATTGGAGAAAAAGACAGAATTCATCCAATGGAGTACTTTCTGGGGATTGAATTTCCTTGCCTTACACAATGAAGATGAACTTGTGGGACAGGGTTCCACAACGACCTTGAACTTGTAAAAAGAACTGCAGCAAACTCACATGTTCCACGCAGGCCATGGCCTCAAAAGCAATGCAGAAAATCCAAAGATCTGCAAAAATGGGACTCTTGATAAAAAAAAAAAAAGAAAGAAAAGAGAAGGAGAGAAGATGCCTGGTCTACAAGAACACTATGAACTGTAGAAACTGTACTGTAGAAAGACTAAGTGGAAGAAGTTATACTAGGCTGTCTTGCAGCTTCATTTGCCAGTGCCCAATATCCTAAAGGCAGAAGCATACCTCAACGTACACTAAGTATTTCACCCTGTGTCCCCTAGTGTCAAAAAAACTAAAACAAAACCCACATTTCTACAGAACCCTTTCCAACTAATACAGAGCTTTACAGTGCATTGAAAATTAGTCTCGCAAAAATCAATTGCACTGACCTGCCATATCATTTCAGTGGAAACTTTCTAAAAAGTAGACAAATCACCTTATCATTAATAAGAATGCATTTATTTTTATTCTATATTATGAAGAAAAAGTATGACACCATTGTTCAAATTTAAAAATGTATTTGGTATAAAGCAGAACGGAAAACGCTCCGGAAAACATCCAAATAATGTCACCTTCAAAAGAAAAAACATTTAGCATTGTTATTTCAACCAGGCCTACATCAATAGCATACATTAATTAGCGCAAAGATTGCCACAGCTTTCTTAATTCAATAGTAGTTCGTGGTCAGGGTGGATTAAAAAAAAATGATGCTTGGTTTACTTTGCAGTTCTCAAAACTGAATTTGACTCAGCGGAGATCACATGCCTCCTCTTCACAGCAAAAATGTTATAACATGAACAGAGTTAAGAAAAAGACCTTAATCCTAACTTCTACAAACCTATGAATACAGAATCAACCCCTTCAGTGCTAAGTTTCAAGAAGTTTGGTGAATAGGATAGAAACAATATTTTTCTGATTGTTTGCAGTGGAATAGATCTGCACAAGAAGAAAGTGAAACTAAATGTGAGGAGGAAGGGGCTGACAGTCTAAGTTTCTGAAAATATATATATTTTGTTTAGCCAAATTAGTTAACAAACATGGATGTTCGTTTAAGCAAATAACATACCGTATTTGCCGGCGTATAAGACGACCCCCTACTTTTCCTGCTAAAATGTAGTGTTTGGGCTATACTCGCCGTATAAGACTACCCCTCTTCCAATGCAAAACAGTGGGAGGAATAGTGCCCCATCGTCGGCGTCAGTGGGGGGTGGAATAGTGCCCCATCGGCGTCGGCGTCAGTGGGGGGTGGAATAGTGCCCCATCGTCGGCGTCAGTGGGGGGGGGGGGGGGGAAATAGTGCCCCATCGTCGGCGTCAGTGGGGGGGGGGGGGAATAGTGCCCCATCGTCGGCGTCAGTGGGGGGGGGGGAATAGTGCCCCATCGTCGGCGTCAGTCAGGGGGGGGGGGGGGGGGATAGTGCCCCATCGTCGGCGTCAGTGGGGGGGGGGGGGGATAGTGCCCCATCGTCGGCGTCAGTGGGGGGGGGGGGGGGGGGGGGGGAATAGTGCCCCATCGTCGGCGTCAGTGGGGGGGGGGGGTGGAATAGTGCCCCATCGTCGGCGTCAGTGGGGGGGGGGGGGGAATAGGGAATGCCCCATCGTCGGCGTCAGTGGGGGGGGGGGGGGGGGAATAGTGCCCCATCGTCGGCGTCAGTGGGGGGGGGGGGGGGGAATAGTGCCCCATCGTCGGTGTCAGTGGGGGGGGGGGGGGGAATAGTGCCCCATCGTCGGTGTCAGTGGGGGGGGGGGGGGGGGAATAGTGCCCCATCGTCGGTGTCAGTGGGGGGGGGGGGGGAATAGTGCCCCATCGTCGGTGTCAGTGGGGGGGGGGGGGGGGGATAGTGCCCCATCGTCGGTGTCAGTGGGGGGGGGGGGGAATAGTGCCCCATCGTTGGTGTCAGTGGGGGGGGGGGGATAGTGCCCCATCGTTGGTGTCAGTGGGGGGGGGGGGGGAATAGTGCCCATCGTTGGTGTCAGTGGGGGGGGGGGGGAATAGTGCCCCATCGTTTGTGTCAGTGGGGGGGGGGGGGGGGGAATAGTGCCCCATCGTTTGTGTCAGTGGGGGGGGGGGGGAATAGTGCCCCATCGTTGGTGTCAGTGGGGGGGGGGGGAATAGTGCCCCATCGTTGGTGTCAGTGGGGGGGGGGGGGGAATAGTGCCCCATCGTTGGTGTCAGTGGGGGGGGGGGGAATAGTGCCCCATCGTTGGTGTCAGTGGGGGGGGGAGGAATAGTGCCCCATCGTTTGTGTCAGTGGGAGGAATAGTGCCCCATCATTGGTGTCAGTGGGAGGAATAGTGCCCCATCATTGGTGTCAGTGGGAGGAATAGTGCTCCATCATTGGTATCAGTGACACCAATGATGGGGCACTATTCCTCCCACTGACACCAATTACACTTGCTGACCCTGTTCTAGTATGGTGCTGCTGCAGCCAGCATATGTGGTTGCAGCAGCACCTCTACACTGAAGACTTACCTGCTGCTCCTGCACTCGATTTTCGCGGGGCCGCTCGGCTCCGCCCCCTCACCGGTGATTGGCCGCCTGTGTGCCTTTCCTGAGCTACAGTTCTGGCGGCCAATCACCGGTGAGGAGGTGGAGCCGAGCAGCCGCCCGAACATCCAGTGGCCGAACTGAAGGAGCAGCCGCGCTTCCTGGACCGGATCGTCGTGGGACCGGAGCCAGGTAAGAAAAAGCCCCTGCCCACCCCTGTACTTAGTGTCCCTTCCGTTGGAAGGGGGGGGGGGGGGGGCGGCGGCACCGCGCCACCCCCCTAAAAGTGTCAGTATGCCGTATACCGGCGTATAAGACGACCCCCGACTTCAGAGAAGATTTTCAAGGGGTAAAAAGTCGTCTTATACGCCGGCAAATACGGTATGCTGTAATGTTATTGTTTCAGTTGAATAAATCTATTTAAATTGTTATTATTAAGGTAATGATTATTTTTCTCCTTCCTAAGTACGACAGAAAAGTTGTCCAAATATGAATGATTAACCTATTAAACTGGGGATAAAAAAAACGAATATGAAAAGTTGTTATTCTAAAAATATTCATCTACAGTACTTGCATATTAAAGTTATACCAGCATGAATTAGTTTATGTAGAAAACTGATTTAAATCAAGCCTTACTGACTAGTGATTTAAATCAGTTTGATTTAAATCAAATCCACCCTGTTCGTGGTTGATAAAAACTTCATATGTGGTTTTAAAAACTCATATTATACTGTATACTGTGTTGCTATAGATTAGCCTACGTCAATAATAACCCAAAGCAAGCATGCAGAAAGGGATATCAAAGTCTACAAATTGCATACTTGTTCCAGACATGGAAAGCGCTCAAGCAAGAAAAAGTCAGTTTTACAGCCAGGCAACTATGATTTTTCAGAAGATCAGCAAAGGGTGCCCATATTTCTCTTGTGACAAGTTTATTTTGAGTATCGGCCACTAAAATATTTTACATTCATCGGTCTGATAACAGAATTACATATTTCTTTATACCATATAGAGATCATAATGAATACTCACTTCCTTATCTTCTGTCCTCTTCATTGTTTGGAAGGAAAAATTCAAAAGAACTGAAACTCTTCACAAGATCCCTGCGGTACTGCCCAACATTGAACACTGGAAAAAACATAAATAAATAAATTCCCCTAGTAATTATTTTCCCTGTCAAGTAGAATACAGGCTTAGAAAAACAGCATTTTTGACTTGCTAGTAAAATCTATTTCTTGGGAGTACAGAACTCAGGTTCTTTGACCCTTTGGCACTGACCGCCTCCTGGCCCTTTAAGGGTTCTAAAAGGAAGGGAAGCAGAGACGGGCCATGTGACCGCTGTGATTGGCTCCCACATCATCAGAAAGCTCCTGATCGCAAGTATGCATTCGGAATTTACCGATCACCACCGGCTACCATGCTTGGAGTGCGCTCTCAGCACGGTAAGCGCACACACACACACACACACACACACACACTATTTATTTTAGGAACTTACATAGCGCTGTCAATTTGCGCAGCGCTTTACATATATATTGTACATTCACATCAGTCCCTAACCCTCAGGGGGCGTACAATCTAAGCTCCCTAACTTACACTCATACATACTAGGGCCAATTTGGACAGGAATCAATTAACCTACCAGCATGTCTTTGGAGTGTGGGAGGAAACTAGAGTACCCAGAGGAAACCCAAGCAGGCACAGGGAGAACATGCAAACTCCAGGCAGGTGGTGACGTGGTTGGGATTCCAACCAACGACCCTAGTACTGCCAGGAGGAAGTGCTAACCATTTAGCCACTGTGCTGCCCAGTTATCAACAGAGTTGCAGTTCAGTGAGTGAAATACGTATTTGATCCCCTACCAACCAACAATAATTCTGGCTCCCACAGACTGGCTATGTGCTCATGTGGTACACAGATTAGCCCTGTCAATTTAAGAAGGTGCTCCTAACGATAACTCGTTATGTGTATAAAAAGACCTTTCCACAGAATCTTTCTTCCATTCAAACCTCACCACCATGGGTAAATGACCGAAGAGCTGTCAAAAGACATCAAAAGACAAGACTGTTGACCCGTACAAGGCTGGAATGGGCTACAAGACCATCAGCAAGAAGCTTGGTGGGGACGGAAAAACATCTGTTGGAGAGATTATTTGCAAAATGGAAGAAATACAAAATAACCATCCATAACCCTTGGTCTGGAGCTCCATGCAAGATTTCGCCTCATGGGGAAAGGATGAGCATGAAAAAAGTGGAGGTATCAGCCCAGAACTACACAGGAGGAACTTGTGAATGATCTCAGTGCAGTTGGGACCACAGTCACCAAGCCAACCATTGGTAACAATACGTCGCCATGGACTGAAATCCTGCAGCGCCCGCAAGGTCCCCCTCCTCAAGAAGGCACATGTACAGGCCTGTCTGAAGTTTACCAATGAAATGATACATCTAAAATTATTCAGAGAAGAATTCAGAGAAAGTACTGTGGTGAGAGGAGACCAAAATTGAGTTCTTTGACGTTAACTAGACTCGCCATATTTGGAGGAAGAAAAAATGCTGACTATGACCCCAAGAACACCATCCCTACAGTTAAGCATGGAGATGGAAACATTATGCTTTCAGGCCGTATCTCTGCTAAAAAAGGTACAAGCCGACTTTGCTGCATTGAGAGGCCAATTGACGGGGCCATGTATTGTAAAATCTTGGATGAGAACCTTCTTCCCTCAGCAGAACACTGAAGATGGGTCGTGGATGGGTCTTCCAGCATGACAATGATCCAAAACATACCACCAAAGCAACAAAGGAGTGGCTCAAGAAGAAGCACATTAAGGTTGTGGAGGGGCCTGGCCAGTCTCCAGACCTTAATCCTATATAAAATTTATAGAGGGAGCTGAAACTTCGAGTTGCCAAGCGACAGCCAAGAAACCTTAGGGATTTAGAGAAGATCCGCAAAGAAGATTGAACCAAAATCCCTCCTGAGATGTGTGCAAACCTGGTAACCAACTACAAGAAACGCCTTACCTCTGTGCTTGCCAACAATGGTTTCTCCACCAAGTACTAAGTCATGCTTTCTATGGTGATCAAATACTTCTTTTACTCACTGAACTGCAACTCTATTGATAACATTTGTATCATGTATTTTTTCAGAATTTTTGGATGATATTCTGTGACTGCCTCTATCATTTAAAATACACCTATGACATAAAAAAAAAAAAAAAAAAAAAAAAAGGGGGGGGGGGGGGGGGGGGGGGGGAAGATAGACCCTTCATTTCTCTTTCAGTTGGTAAACTTATAAAATCTGCAAGGGATCAAAATTATTTTCCCCACTGTGGCAGTAAAGCGGCCACTGGGCAGTAAAGCACATTCACTGATTGGCTGCATACATGTGTGCGGCCCGCATCAAGAGGTTAATCATTAGAATGGGCTATTTTAAGCTACCTTTGGGTGAGTGGACACTGGCAAAAAACAAGGCTGCAAGGACATCCTCCTATATAACCTCTCCTGCTCCCAACAAGCCGCAGTTTTGTAGCAAGCAATAGGACAAAACATGAGACCAGGGAAGGACCTGTGTCCCATACTGTACTCCAGGAACCAGATTTTTACTGTTAGGGCAAACATAACTTTTCCTGGTCGTACAGTCAGGAAACAGGCCTTTTATTCGTTATAAGAAGGATGTCCAAAAGCAGTCCAACTAAGGGGTCGACACCACGAAAAACCCCAAAAGATTCATGTAAACAAATGAGTCAAGAAAGCCTAATAGACTTCGACAGCAGGATGTAGTATTGTAATCCCAAAACTGGCTTCAGAGGAGGCCTGAATATCCACCTAGTAAAACTTAAAAATGTGTGTGAATGGCTGAGGCCCTGAAAAAGAAAAAAAAAAAAAAAAAAAAAAAAAAAAAAAAAAAAAAAAAAAAAAATCACAGAAAGAGACACAGATGCCTGCACTAACCAATCTGGTAGTGTGCCTTAAAGAATATGTAAACCCAGCATTTTTTATTCCTGATATACAGTCAGGTCCATAAATATTGGGACATCGACACAATTCTAACACTTTTGGCTTTATACACCACAATGGATTTGAAATGAAACGAACAAGATGTGCTTTAACTGCAGACTGTCAGCTTTAATTTGAGGGTATTTACATCCAAATCAGGTGAACGGTGTAGGAATTGCAACAGTTTGCATATGTGCCTCCCACTTGTTAAGGGACCAAAAGTAATGGGACAATTGGCTTCTCAGCTGTTCCATGGCCAGGTGTGTGTTATTCCCTCATTATCACAATTACAAGGAGCAGATAAAAGGTCCAGAGTTCATTTCAAGTGTGCTATTTGCATTTGGAATCTGTTGCTGTCAACTCTCATGATGAGATCCAAAGAGCTGTCACTATCAGTGAAGCAAGCCATCATTAGACTGAAAAAACAAAACAAACCCATCAGAGAGATAGCAAAAACATTAGGTGTGGCCAAAACAACTGTTTGGAACATTCGTAAAAAGAAGGAACGCACCGGTGAGCTCAGCAACACCAAAAGACCCGGAAGACCATGGAAAACAACTGTGGTGGATGACCGAAGAATTCTTTCCCTGGTGAAGAAAACACCCTTCACAACAGTTGGCCAGATCAAGAACACTCTCCAGGAGGTAGGTGTATGTGTGTCAAAGTCAACAATCAAGAGAAGACTTCACCAGAGTGAATACAGAGGGTTCACCACAAGGTGTAAACCATTGGTGAGCCTCAAAAACAGGAAGGCCAGTTTATAGTTTGCCAAACGACATCTAAAAAAGCCTTCACAGTTCTGGAACAACATCCTATGGACAGATGAGACCAAGATCAACTTGTACCAGAGTGATGGGAAGAGAAGAGTATGGAGAAGGAAAGGAACTGCTCATGATCCTAAGCATACCACCTAATCAGTGAAGCATGGTGGTGGTAGTGTCATGGCGTGGGCATGTATGGCTGCCAATGGAACTGGTTCTCTTGTATTTATTGATGATGTGACTGCTGAAAAAAGCAGCAGGATGAATTCTGAAGTGTTTCGGGCAATATTATCTGCTCATATTCAGCCAAATGCTTCAGAACTCATTGGACGCCGCTTCACAGTGCAGATGTACAATGACCCAAAGCATACTGCAAAAGCAACCAAAGAGTTTAAAAGGGAAAGAAGTGGAATGTTATGCAATGGCCAAGTCAGTCACCTGACCTGAATCCGATTGAGCATGCATTTCACTTGCTGAAGACAAAACTGAAGGGAAAATGCCCCAAGAACAAGCAGGAACTGAAGACAGTTGCAGTAGAGGCCTGGCAGAGCATCACCAGGGATGAAACCCAGCGTCTGGTGATGTCTATGCATTCCAGACTTCAGGCTGTAATGGATTGCAAAGGATTTGCAACCAAGTATTAAAAAGTGAAAGTTTGATTTAGGATTATTATTCTGTCCCATTACTTTTGGTCCCTTAACAAGTGGGAGGCACATATGCAAACTGTTGTAATTCCTACACCGTTCACCTGATTTGGATGTAAATACCCTCAAATTAAAGCGGACAGTCTGCAGTTAAAGCACATCTTGTTCGTTTCATTTCAAATCCATTGTGGTGGTGTATAGAGCCAAAAATGTTAGAATTGTGTCAATGTTCCAATATTTATGGACCTGACTGAATGCCTGCTGTACTATGTACGAAAAAGGATCCTGTTCCCTTTATCTATAAACAGCAGAGCGGATGCAGCAGTAACTGTTGGAGCTCCTTTATGTGCCTTTCATTTTATGCCCCTATGCGAGTGTTTTTTTTATTTAATAAAATTGATTACCATAATGGTATTGCACTATTGGGTCACTTCTTTTCTAAAATCAGTCTGTGGTTCACATGAAGAGAAATTTAACCAGCAGGCCAGGAGACAAAGCCTGCCAGGAGGATTAGCTGATGATCTTATGCTTGATATTCAGTTCTTTAAAAGGGGAGGCATATAGATTTGGGGAGTATATGTCTGAAATGTGGAAAGTCACAGAGAATGTGTTGAGTACTTATGTTGTAGGTTATTCACAGGATACTGTACTTCTGGAAATTTCGAAAGATTTATGAACTTTCACAACTTTTTTATACATTGTTTTTCTTTTTTTTTTTATACTGATGAATG